AGTTGAGTTGCGTGCTGGTTAAAGAGCATCATTAATCCAACGAACATTTTAATTACCAAAAATTTTCAACGCCTGTAAGTGATGCTATCAACACCATTTGACTTAATTTAAGGGAATGCGATGGTAAAGTAAAACCAATCGATTAATTATAAATGCGTTTATTGGCTTCAAAGTAACACTACATGGGTTATAGACAGTAGTTGTCTGGGAGAATTAGGGAAAATCGTCATCATCTTCGGCCATTTCCTTGGCAAGTTCAAGATCTTGCTTTTCTCTTTCTCGTTGCTCCTAACAAAGGGATGGACATAAAACGCGTTACGTAAAAAAATATATTCTAAATTCTCAGAGAAAGAGTATATCTTTCTATGACAGTTGTCTCCATTATTCAGATATCGACTACCATCCTTACAAGAAGAAATGACAAAGTGCAAGCAATACCTCAAGTGATTCCAAATTCTTGCTGTAAGACTTTGGTGGAAATCGCATAGCCTACATTAATGATAGAAGGAAAGAAACATATCTTGAAAAAGTAACAAACACAGCAGCAATGCTACCTATCAGAGACATAAAAATGAGGAAGGTATACCAGTAAAATGTGGATGTGATTAATGTTGTGTAAAAAAATTATTTCTAGTAAAAAGACCAATACAGTTTATATCAGCAAAGTACATATTCACTGAATAAAGGCTGATAGTTTCGAAAGAAACTGTTTGGGGTTGCGTCGATGGGAGTAACGAAATAATTTGGATATATCAACAAAGTTGAAATGGTAAATTGGCCACCGTAACGATTACAAAAGCTGACGTTTCGAGCGTTAGCCCTTCGTCGGAGCTTACCTTGACGGACTGATTGTAAAGATCCAAGCAAAAGCTAACTCTCTGATGAAACGCTCCTTGTGGTTCATTAGTAGAGTAGATGTCCACATTTTCCTGTAAGAAACAATTTACACATACTATTATTTACCCTAATACCATAGCTACAGTAGATTGAATTCAGTTGAACTCGACTTTTTGTAGCTCTCCTTGGACAAAACTTGTAAGCCATGAATAAAAACGGTGAAAGATACAAAGATGCACAGAGAAGGAGTTAAAAGTTACTAATTTCAGTCTAAGCAAATGAATATATCTTACCTTTGATTGAACATGGCCTTTCTCATGATCAATTGTAGCATCAATTACACCATCACGAATTGCCTGCCAAGAGAGCACAATTCTATTATCAATTTTGAAATTTCTTGTGCTTAATTGTCAATCAAGGACAGCTTTGACTGAAACTCAGCAGCTCCAAAGGTAAATAACTAATTTCCTGCTTCTCTTTGCCATGGTTGTATTAATATTCAATTTGATTTGCACACATTAACCTTTTGATTTCTGAACCATACTGCACTTGTAGGTTGTAGGTGTGATAAAAGAATAATGCTAAAATCATTAAGTCACCAAAACCAGATCTGGCCATATATATACATAGGTATGTCCTGCTGATATCTTTATGTCTTTCTCTGTAGGAAATCCTAACCATCACATTGGCTGTCATGCAGACAAGGCTTATTTATTAAAAAGGAAGTAAAGAGAAGTAAAGAGTAAAACGTAAGGACAAACAGCTTTGTGACAAAGTTTTGGTTTGACAATCAAACAAATAACAATTACGTATATGTGCACGATCCTTCGCAGTAAAGCACTATTTAAGCAATAGTGAAAATCAGACCTGAAAAAAATTTAGGCCTGTACGGGATTCGAACCACTGACCTCTGCGATACTAGTGCAGCGCTCTACCAATTGAGCTAACAAGCCAACTGGGAGCAGGCCATCAAATTATCAAAAAATCCCGTACAGGCCTGAATTTTTTTCAGGTCTGATTTTCACTATTGCTTAAATAGTGCTTTACTGCGAAGGATCGTGCACATATACGTAATTGTTATTTGTTTGATTGTCAAACCAAAACTTTGTCACAAAGCTGTTTGTCCTTACGTTTTACTCTTTACTTCTCTTTACTTCCTTTTTAATAAATAAGCCTTGTCTGCATGACAGCCAATGTGATGGTTAGGATTTCCTACAGAGAAAGACATAAAGATATCAGCAGGACATACCTATGTATATATATGGCCAGATCTGGTTTTGGTGACTTAATGATTTTAGCATTATGCTTTTATCACACCTACAACCTACAAGTGCAGTATGGTTCAGAAATCAAAAGGTTAATGTGTGCAAATCAAATTGAATATTAATACAACCATGGCAAAGAGAAGCAGGAAATTAGTTATTTACCTTTGGAGCTGCTGAGTTTCAGTCAAAGCTGTCCTTGATTGACAATTAAGCACAAGAAATTTCAAAATTGATAATAGAATTGTGCTCTCTTGGCAGGCAATTCGTGATGGTGTAATTGATGCTACAATTGATCATGAGAAAGGCCATGTTCAATCAAAGGTAAGATATATTCATTTGCTTAGACTGAAATTAGTAACTTTTAACTCCTTCTCTGTGCATCTTTGTATCTTTCACCGTTTTTATTCATGGCTTACAAGTTTTGTCCAAGGAGAGCTACAAAAAGTCGAGTTCAACTGAATTCAATCTACTGTAGCTATGGTATTAGGGTAAATAATAGTATGTGTAAATTGTTTCTTACAGGAAAATGTGGACATCTACTCTACTAATGAACCACAAGGAGCGTTTCATCAGAGAGTTAGCTTTTGCTTGGATCTTTACAATCAGTCCGTCAAGGTAAGCTCCGACGAAGGGCTAACGCTCGAAACGTCAGCTTTTGTAATCGTTACGGTGGCCAATTTACCATTTCAACTTTGTTGATATATCCAAATTATTTCGTTACTCCCATCGACGCAACCCCAAACAGTTTCTTTCGAAACTATCAGCCTTTATTCAGTGAATATGTACTTTGCTGATATAAACTGTATTGGTCTTTTTACTAGAAATAATTTTTTTACACAACATTAATCACATCCACATTTTACTGGTATACCTTCCTCATTTTTATGTCTCTGATAGGTAGCATTGCTGCTGTGTTTGTTACTTTTTCAAGATATGTTTCTTTCCTTCTATCATTAATGTAGGCTATGCGATTTCCACCAAAGTCTTACAGCAAGAATTTGGAATCACTTGAGGTATTGCTTGCACTTTGTCATTTCTTCTTGTAAGGATGGTAGTCGATATCTGAATAATGGAGACAACTGTCATAGAAAGATATACTCTTTCTCTGAGAATTTAGAATATATTTTTTTACGTAACGCGTTTTATGTCCATCCCTTTGTTAGGAGCAACGAGAAAGAGAAAAGCAAGATCTTGAACTTGCCAAGGAAATGGCCGAAGATGATGACGATTTTCCCTAATTCTCCCAGACAACTACTGTCTATAACCCATGTAGTGTTACTTTGAAGCCAATAAACGCATTTATAATTAATCGATTGGTTTTACTTTACCATCGCATTCCCTTAAATTAAGTCAAATGGTGTTGATAGCATCACTTACAGGCGTTGAAAATTTTTGGTAATTAAAATGTTCGTTGGATTAATGATGCTCTTTAACCAGCACGCAACTCAACTTATGCGTCTGAAAGCTGGAACCCTTGGAAGCGAAAAAAAAAGTAAACCCTGGAACTGTTATTGGTCCCTTACATAGATATGGAGGAAGGGTTTGGATATAGAAGTTGGGAAACCAGGTTTGAGCTGTTCTCAAACTTGGTCAAGCTAATCCTGAGTTGACTTAATTACATTGAGTTGTATCGATTTCCCGCACCGATTTTCTCTGATCCGTAAAACAGGAATTGAGCCCCCCAATCAACAGTCATGCTTCAGTTTTGTTTTAGTGATTAAAAAACTAAAGGGCTTATGACCACCACGATTGTTTGTTTGTTTGCTGTCTCGCCCACTGTATGGAATCTTTTTGATAAATTATTACGTTAGTATTTCGTGCATTGTTAGCTTTCCCGTTTGATGGATTGATTTGTTGGTTAACCGTTATGTTGGTGTCTCGCGCACCGTTAGCTTTCTCGTATGATGAATTGTTACGTTAGTATTTCGCGTAATGTTAAGATTCTCTTTTGATGGATTTTTATGATAATATCTTGCACATCGTCACCATGCAAAGGACTAATAGTAAAGTTACCCAAGAAAGGTAACTTGCGTGAGTGTACAAACTGGAGGGGTATCACTCTTTCACCAGTCATGAATAAGATCTTTGGCAGGGTGTTGATAAGTTCAATTAAAAAAGGAGTTGATAACATTTTGAGGAAGAGAAATGCAGGTTTTCGAGAGAACAGAAGTACCATCGATCAGATTTTTACTCTCAGGAATATATTGGAGCAAGTCACTGAATGGAGTGCAACTTTGTTTTTCCCATTTCATAGACTTTGAGAATAGTTAAAACTATGCTTTGAGAAAGCATTTGATTCTATACACCGCGAAAGTTTATGGAACATCATGTCAATATATGGAATCCCAGAAGAGCTCATCAGTCTGACAAAAGCAATGTACAACAACTTTGAATGCGCAGTCCTGGAAGAAGGTGAAACAACAGAATGGTTTCAAGTCCAGCCGGTCTGGAGTAAAGCAAGGGTGCACCATGTGAGGACTACAGAGTGTAGGAGAACTGGCATAAGATGGAAGCTCACCTCCGTCTTAGAAGATCTTGACTACGCAGACCGCGTTGCCTTATTGTCATCTAGATATGTTGACATAGAAGATAAGACCAGTAAGCTTGTTAATGAAGCTGCCAGAGTAGGCTTACTGAGGTCAACGCAAAGAAGTCTAAAGTTATGCGGTAGATGACGTTGAAGAGCTTTTTTTACCTAGGTGTACTGTTGGACAGAGAAGGCGGAGCGACCAAAGACATACAACAGAGAGACTAAGTAAAGCCAGACAAACTTTCTACAAGTTGCGAAGAATTTGGGACAGTAGCGAAAGTTAGCAGAAAGACGAAAGTTCAATTGTTTAAAACAATTGTAAGAGCAGTTTTGATGTATGGCTGTGAAGCTTGGAAACTCACGAAAACAGAAGCAAAGAAGCTAGACGCTTTCCAATACAAATGCATTAAAAGCATACTGAAAATAACGTGGCCACGGACCATCTCACATCAACAAATCCAGGAGACCACAGGAGTGAACAGAACAAGTGATGAGATCAGACACCGAAGATGGAATTGGATCAGACATATAATGAGGAAGAACAGAGAGGTGCTCTGCGTTACGGAATAGAATGGAGGCGGCCAGAAGGGAGAAGGAGACCAGGTGGACCAAAAACAATATGGAGGAGAATGATTGAAGACGAAAGGCGAATAGCTGGGTGGCAATCATGGACGACTGTTAGAACTTTAGCAACAAACCGAGGTGGATGGAAAGTGAATGTTAAAGCCTTAAGTGCTTTATGGCACAAAGAGATATAGAGACATCGTCACCATTCTTTGTGTTGGATTGTTTCGTTGGTGTCTCACACACAGTTAAGATTCTCTCCTGACGGATTGTACTAGTTTTGTATCTTGCACACTGTTAGCATTCTCTATTCATGGACTGTTACGTTAGTATCTCGCGCACTGTTAGCTTTCTTGTGTGATGGATTGTTCTACATATGCGTTATTATCAAAGCACGAGGTCAAGATGGCTTGGATATTGGCCGAGTTCTTTTTGACATTTTTATGGAACGAGACGAAGTCAAGGTCCACAAAACTGCGAAAAAAGAACGAGGCTAATATCCAGCCATCATTCGCTCTGACGAAGGGCTAACGCTCGAAACGTCAGCTTTTTAACTCTTTACGGTGGCCAATTTACAATTTCAACTTAGTTGATATTACCAAATTACCTAATATCCAGCCATCTTGACCAAACGAGCTTGGTTAATGAAGGATTTATTATATTGCAAAAATATTTCGCATTATTAAGAACTAAGAATAACTTGTACTTCGAGAGCCGGGAAGGAAAGCCAACTGTCTTTACAGCACAACAAACTCACGAGAGTCGTTTCTGTTTTCTTTGTTTTGACTATCTTGTGCCACCTTTTGCGATTCCATCGCCAAACTGAAATTGTCCAAGAATTACCAACTTAGTTTTGCTTCAATTTTTTCATGCGCGGGATTAATGAGGGCAATCCCGAGCGGGCGCTGCGAGCGATGTAATAAGTAGGTTTATTTAGATCTAATCCGGAGGTCGTGGGTTCGATTCCCACCGAGGTCAAGAATTTTTTCTTTACCTCGTGTGATTCCTTAACAGAGGTTTTGCACAGCAGCCATGTTGGATGGCAGGAACAATAGATTGTTTTACCCATGGGAAAAATTTTTCTTACTTATGCAAAATATTTAAATTGTTCCTGCCATCCAACATGGCTGCTGTGCAAAACCTCTATACCTTTACTAGGGTTAACGCCCTGTGGGTTTTTCAAGGGTTTCACTTAGCACTTTAATTTACGCTTCAGAGTTAGTTCACTGTTCCACCATTTGTGTTCATAGTCATACGCGGCACAACACCGTAGCTTAGACGGCAGAACAACGATAGATCTAATCCGGTCATAGTTAGTAGAGGGGACCCAGTTCCCTCTATTAACTCTGATCCGGTTCATCAATCTGTCTGTCCCAAGATCTAGAACCTCTACCTATGGCGACAGATCCTTTCCGTGTGCATCCCCCATGCTTTGGAACAAACTTTTTGATTTTAAGATATTCCGAAACCTTAGATTTCTTTAAAACCAGGCTCAAAACTCACCTTTTTAAAATCGCTTTTAATTTATAGTTTAATTTTTATCTTATTTTGTAATTAAATCTTATGTAAAAGCATTGAGACTTACGTATGACGCGTTTTTAACGGTCAAGTCGCTGGAAGTCATCTCGCCCGAAGTTATGTCGCCCAGAACCTGAGTCATGTTGCCCGAAAGTTTAGTCATGTCGCCCAACACATTAAAATAGCATATTTTTTAGAAAGTGCTGGAGGTGCCGATCGATCCAAATACCATTTTGGTGTATTTCTACTCTAATTTGAGCAGTTGGGTAATAATATGCCAATATCTCGCGCACTGTCACCATCCTCTTTTGATGGAATTCTACGTTAGTATCTCGCACACGGTTAGGAATTTCTTTTTAAAAATGTTATGGTTATTGCGCACAACACTCGAATTCAAGCCCTCACAAGGTTACGTCTAAAAACAAAGGAGATAGGGAAAACATAATACAAATATGAAGGTGACATTCAAGACCGTAAACCAGTGCTTCCATCCATGAGGATTTGTATAAGTTTCAAGAATTCCCCCACCACTTTGAGGTTCTTTAAACCTCGAAATTTCTTACTGCTTTATATGGAAAACGTTTCTCAAAAAGAGGAAGTATTTAATACCATGTTTACCTACTGTTATCTAAACACCTATTGATTAATGAGAGTCTGAGTACTAACGCAAACATTAAACTCTCGGTTGTGAAGGTAGTAACTGATGTGTTTTGTGCAGAGAAGTTCAAGGACAGAATGAATTTATCAGTCAATTTGACTGTAAACAGAAGTTGGTTGTTGGCCTGGATTAAATTCTACCTTGCGTGGTACCACTTTTAAACACCGGTTAACTTTTTATGAATCCACTCCGTGGATGGAGGCACTTCCTCTTAATGACAATACTTTTATTCCTATTTAGGGAATGTTGACAGTGTTCACACTGCACTGGTTTTCATCCTTTGTGTCACATTAAGTACTTCCAATAAAAAGAAGTTTCTAATTTCTTTCCTCATCAGTACACACTCTTTTCAGTGGGGGACACTCTGAAATTTCCTGTTCGGTGGATGACTCAAAAAACCCTGAACCAAAAGGCTCAGATCTCACTGATTCATCCAGTTCATAACTGCCAGAACTAGAATTACAGTTCATGTTTCTTCCATTTTTGACTGTCTGTTTGGGCTCCAATTTTTGGTCTACTACACCTGGAGACTCCAAGGACAAGTTAATTGTTTGGAAAATTCCAAATTTGTCTAGAGCTTTGGACATTATTGCATTGATAACCTCAGGAGATGTTATGGAGTTTATAAGGTCATCTGTAGAAATCGTAGTTTGATTGCGATCCATATGTCTGTGTAGTGTTCCATCCAAGTTAGGTGTATCAACATCACAGCTAGTCCCTTGTTTCACTGCACAAAGTGCTCGATTCAAGTAACTCATGTTCTGTGCATGTGTTCCAATTTCCTGGAAAGCAAATAACTCAACACATGAATGCAAATTTGGCTTCTAGACAAATACATACTGCTATGGAAAGTTCTGATTTTCATTTTTTTAAATTCATGAGTATGTTTTCTGTGTGGTTGTGGTGAGTGAATTTATTTGGCAACACAAAGTTTGAGTCTGATCAAATGGCCACTAGTGCTGGTAGCTACGAAAACGAAGACCCCGAACACGAAGACCTAAGACCCTCTACGAAAACGAAGACCCACTACGAAAACGAAGACCCCCTACGAAAACGAAGACCCATTACGAAAACGAAGACCCATTACGAAAACGAAGACCCATCACGAAAACGAAGACACATTACTAAAACAAATTCAAAAGAGATTGATATTACCTTGTGGACAAAGATTACCGGTTTTCGTTTTCGTAGGGAGTCTTCGTTTTCGTAATGGATCTTCGTTTTCGTAGGGGGTCTTCATTTTCGTAATGGGTCTTCGTTTTCGTAATAGGTCTTCGTTTTCGTAATGGGTCTTCGTTTTCGTAGGGGGTCTTAGGTCTTCGTTTTCGGGGTCTTGGTTTTCGTAACTATGCGTTTTCACACCATTACTCCCTGTGGTTTTGGCCGGCAAAGAATTCAGGTGTCTTGTTTCTGTATTGCTTTATTGTTTTTATTGTTTTCGTAATGCGTCTTTGTTTTCGTTGGGGGTCTTCGTTTTCGTAATGGGTCTTCGTTTTCGTAGGGGGTCTTAGGTCTTCGTTTTCGGGGTCTTGGTTTTCGTAACTATGCGTTTCCACACCATTACTCCCTGTGGTTTTGGCCGGCAAAGAATTCAGGTGTCTTGTTTCTCTATTGCTTTATTGTTTTTATTGTTTTCGTAATGGGTCTTTGTTTTCGTTGGGGGTCTTCGTTTTCGTAATGGGTCTTCGTTTTCGTAGGGGGTCTTAGGTCTTCGTTTTCGGGGTCTTGGTTTTCGTAACTATGCGTTTTCACACCATTACTCCCTGTGGTTTTGGCCGGCAAAGAATTCAGGTGTCTTGTTTCTGTATTGCTTTATTGTTTTTATTGTTTTCGTAATGCGTCTTTGTTTTCGTTGGGGGTCTTCGTTTTCGTAATGGGTCTTCGTTTTCGTAGGGGGTCTTAGGTCTTCGTTTTCGGGGTCTTCGTTTTCGTAACTACCGACTAGTGCTTGTGCTGATTACAATCACTGCTCACACAAAACCATACATTGATTGTTTATGCTGAGTTCACACAGTTTGATAACATGTTGTACACAATTCCCAAAGAGACATCAAGATACATGCATAGAAGTTACTTGAAGTTAGCAAAAACACTGAAGTCATAGTGACCTCTGATGGGTTCAGCCATGTTTCTTCAGCTGCTCCCTCCTCCTTCTTTAGGGCAGACACCTTGAAACAAGAAAGAAAATAGGCTTTTTTCATTTTAAAAAGCATTTTAGTCCTGGATTATTAAACACAACCCTGTTCAACAAGAATTCTTTTTATCGGTCATTTCACAAAATGCCATTCAACATATCATCAGAAGTGATCACCATGATAATATTGTTAAACAAATCAAGGGTTTCAAGTAAATCAATAGGCAGTTTCTTAAAAAAAAAAAATAAACAAAATAAAACTGTGAGGAGTCTATTATTTTCTCTTTCTCCACTGAATTCACTCTGCGACTACATTTGATAAGGGAGCTATCACTTTCATGCAGTTTGCAATTTAGTAATACAAAAGGAAAGAATCAGGACAAAACTCAAACCTTTTCAGATTTGTTTCAGTATCCTTACACTGTAAACCCTTGAAATAGCCCCTCCCCTCAAGGAAGCACCTGGCCACAATTTGAGAAAACTAAATATGGTAAGTCCCTCTCTTTGGTTAGTTACAAGGTGTTACCATTATCAGTGAACATGAAACTCCTGGAAACAATACCTAAAGCACAACAAAACGAGTCTAGATGAAGAGACATTCTAACCTCTGGACATTCTTTATAGCAGAGTACATCTAAACAAACAATTCTCCACTCACCAGTGTTCTTATGAGTGCCTCCTTGACTCTTTCCAAATGATCACAATCCTTATTAAAGGAAAAACATTGAAACAGACTGAGGTGATTAAAAATGTTGTTATTAATAATAACTTTGTGATCACATATCTTAAATTTGGTAAACAAGGAAACATGTCCATGATGCCATAGGCAGGGGTTTCATAAACATTTTCATAACTGTCTACCAGTAGTGAAGTGGAAGGCTCCAGTAAGGTGAAGGCCCAGCCTACAAAGCTCATAAACGTACAGGCCTTAAAAGTGGCAGTAAACCACTGGTAAACCCTCACTATATCTCATAGAATTACCTTAAAATTAATTTGATAGTTATACTTTTATTTAAGTTACAAGGTGATGACAGCTTTGTGGAATTTATTCAAACTTTAAAAATGTAAGACTAGATTTATTAGGTAAAGCACTACATGGAAAAAACCATTAACTTCAAATAACATATGAAAAAGCCATTCAAATATCAAATATGTTGAAAGTCAATCACGTCTAAAATAACACACTCAAAACAAATGACCCAGCTGAAGGCTAATACAACCTCACCAATATTAGGAAGTTTGAGAAAAGTCCAAAGAGTACAACATTTTCTACTCACGAACCATCACTGTCATGATTGCATTAAATAAAGAGACCAGGGAGTGGTAAAATGTGCATGAATGAATGGCAAGTAGACTAAAATATCCTGCCTTGTTCATACACACCAGTTCAATCCATGTGTTCATGCTTATTGATGTTTCTAATGATTCCACATAATGCCACCACTTCTTAGGCACAAACAGAACATCTCCTGGTTTAAGAATGACCTACAATCATGTAGAATAAGTTACTTTATTATTAACTCTGCCAACCACAGACTCTATTTTTCCTCTGCACTTTATATTGTACAGACATGGAACTAGAAAAGGATTATATACCGCATTTTCTCGGTTATAAGGCGCATGGTTTTTTGAAGAAAATTCTGTCTTTGGGTGGAAAGTTAGTGCTGAATTTGGGATGCGTCTTATAGCCAAGTATTTTTGCACAACTAAATCTTAAGATCACAGTTTTAGCAGAACTTACCGTTAAAAAGAGAAAAACAGAAAAGCAAACAAACGGAAATTTGCATATGTTCTTAACACCACATGCTTGGTAACACGATATCCATGAGAAAAAACCTCATTTCAAATTCCTAGAATCGTGCTTGTGTCACCCGCTCGAAAAGTTCCTTTTCTGAATAAATGATGTGGATATAAAACCTGCCTTCTTCTTCCATCAAGCCTTTCATCCTCGGCAGTGTGTTGAGTTTCAGCTGTCGAATGCCTTTGAATATGACTTGGTGGGAGTTTTATGTCATTTGCTTTCACTGCCAGAGCAACCGTGAAACTTTCTCAGATCCATCACAACTTTTGTTAACTCTAAACCTTTTGGTGCATCTTATAACCGCGTATTTTCACGTAATTTTCAGTTTGGGAACTTGGCTTGACTAAGTTGCTAAGTTTGAGAATCGTCTTATAATAAGTCTTATAACTGAGTGCACCTTATATAACAAAGAATATATGGTATCTTATAAAGAAGCTAACTATGTGTGACTTCCTAAATACAAACTCTGCCATCTCTAAGCTCTGTGAGTTGTCACTCCCTCTCCTTATTGCAAGCCATGGCATTTTTCTCCACTCACAACAATATAGTGTCAATGAATGTACATTAAACCAAACCAGATAACAAAATGAATGGTTAACACCACAATGTACACTATTGAGTTATGGATGCATGCAGGAGGTTGCATGAAAGAAGCATAAGAATCACGTGAGGTGATAGCCGAGAATGATTCTAGCTTTTTGAGTGTTTAGCAAACCTCTCAAGTGCATCCATAATTCAATAGTGTACACCATTTGTTTTATAACATAACATTGATACAATGTAGCAAAAGAGTTTTCTTTTATTTAACAAATAGAACGTGACCAAAAAAAACAAGTGCGCGGAAAACTAGTCTTTGCATTTGCTGGTGTCAGTAGTGTACACCCATGGGCAAATGGTGGATGCTGAATTGACCAATCAGAGCATGCGCTTTGCTTTGGTTATGTTATAAATCTAAATGGGAGATTTGAGAGGGTTCAGTAGTTGATGTGCCTGACTCATCAAGACTGGGACCAATCTCTGGGAGGTTGTGTTCATGGGCATAATATCATATCCTTCAATGTTTTCTACACTAGGAGTCTAAATGGGTATCCATGAATTGTTGTAGACTGAATCTGAATTTGACTAACATCTTATCCAAATAGAATGTAAGTATTTGAAGACACTGGCAGAATTACCAGCCCCTCAAATTTGCTTTGCTAGATATCATTTCTCAGTTTGTAAATGACTCCGTCACATATTTCTCTTGCCTCTTACTCTTGAGGGAAAGTTACTTAATGGTACTTTTAGTTACTCTACATTAAAAGTCACCTAATTAACCACTATCACTCATCAGCAATTCTCCTTACTGTCTTCCATTCAATTCACATTATGTTAGTTCAGAGAATTCGGTTTTTGATCAACTGCTAATATAACCTCTGGAGGAGATTTTTCCAATTATACTGACTTAGGGTGAATGTGTATTTCATTTTTTTTTCTCCTGAATTGTCACACAGATTAACAAATTAATGACAATATATTAAAATAGATTAGAGTTCTTCTTTTGAAGGAGAGTGGGCTTGTAAGAAAACTATAATAGATGAGCAAGGGACTTGTTAGAGAGGGGGCTTTTCAAGGATTCATTGTAACCAGAAAAATACCTCATATCCAAGAGCATTTTCAAAGGCCGGAAACCTTGTTAAATCTGGATTGGTGATGTTAACTTGGCTAAACACACTGGATTCTTCATATGGAATTCTGGTTGGATACAAGTTGGAGGTTTCACTCGGTGGAAAGAGGATCCACTTCTTTGAGCCATAAATCTGTGCAACTAAATTACAGCCATATGTATCAACATGGCAAGGAGTTGAAGCTTCAGCACTTCCAATCCATATTGTTGATTCATCACCACTTCTCTCAGGAAAACCAAAGCAGTTCCAGTCAACAGACTTACGTAAATGAGGAAAATCTTTGAACAGTTGAGCCATATATTTGTAATCTGCATAGCACCAATAGTTTTCTCTAAAAAGTAAACAAAACAACTTTAATCCTCTTTCATGAGATTCTTTTATATTGTTAGAGCTCATCATATCTAATATCCCATTTTATTATACTGCTAGCAGCATCCATGGGCAATATGAAGTATATCCTGTGTTCTAATTGGCTACCTGAGCTGGCAAGATGGGCTTGGAATTGCCTGCTTTGACTCTGCTCAAGAAATAAAAGGCTTGGATTGGATTTACAAAGTTCATAATTTTTTGGACAATTTTGGCAATGGAGTTGCAAAAGTGGTAGAAGACAAAACAATAACACATTCAAGATTTTTGTAAACTTATGGTGCTACAAAAACAGGAAAATATAAAAACTAAAAGACAAGGTGATACAAAAGCATTGATTAAGCATTATTGTCATACAGAAAGTGAGACAAGAGAACTTCTGTCATTCCAGAGCAAGAACTGACTGAAATTGCTTTTCTTTTGATGAAATTTTTAAAAACAAAGAAAACTTATCAAATTGCTTTTTTTTTTTTTTAATTTGTCAAATGTAAAACAAGCATGCTCAATAACAGTTGGCTTTCTTTCCCAGCACTTGAAAATAAAAAAGTCGTTCTTGATTCTTATTTAAGTGCAATCTGTTTCTTTAATAAATCCTTTATTGACCAAACTTGTTCTGTCAAGATGGCGGGATATTTTTAGCTTGGTTCTTTTTCCTTTGTTTTTATGGACCTTGATTTTGTACTCAGTCCATCAAAAATGTGAAAAAGGAACTTGGCCAATATCCAGCCATTTTGACCTCACATTTGGTTAATAACACATATCTACTTCACACTACAGTGACTTAAATTTTTTTTCTGATTAAGGTTGATCCTTGATTTTAAAATAATATATTTGGGTGAAGTGTGCCTCTTTTCAATTTTAAGTGGGATGAAATTTTTGTGACAAAAAAGATAATTTCCCCTAGGAACTAATTTGGAGTTTTTCTGTTCTTGAAAGCACTGGAATGTCAAGGAAAAAAATATTCTCTTAATTTATCTGCCTTGTTGTGCTAAATAAAGAGGAGCTACTCAGTAGTTTATGAAGAGAGACAAGGTGGCCTAATTAATGCACTCACTCAGGACTCTGGGTTCAAAAGCTGGCCAGGTCACTGTGTGGCACTCTTGGACAAGACACTTTACCCCCAGAGTGCCTCTCTAAACCCAGGATTTAAAATGTTTACCAGAAAACTGACAGGGAAACCTGATGAAATTTTGGGAGGTAGCCTACAATAGACTGCATCCCATGCAGAGAATAGCAATAGTCTAAGTTGCTTTATGGTATATAAACCATGATAAGCTACAGTTGGATGGGCGAACAGCTTGCTTTTGCTACAAAACAGGTTAACAAATATGGATATTAAAAATCACTTTAAACATAAAAAGTATGAACTCACACTTGGTTCCAATACAAAGTATGCCACTTGACTGAGAGTGAAACATACTTTCAAACAGGTAAGTAGAGCTTATCTATCTTTCAAGTATGACAACCCAAAAGGCAAAGTCAAGGATAAAGAGATCCTCCCAGTGGTTAAATGATAACTGAAAACTTGGTTTAAAAAAGGAAGTACCATGAATGAATTTCCACCAATACCAAAACTTCAAGCCACATTGTTTTTGAAGCTAAACATAGAGAGCAAGTGTCTTAAGACTTTTTTAATGAGATTTAGCGCCTTGAGTAGAACATCTTAATCATACACATGAGTCAAAGTTAATCAAATATTCCTCAAAAGATGAGAACAAGACAGCCACCATAATAAACTAGATGTATTCCTGGTGGTGTTAGCAAATGCTCCCATGAAAGAACTCCCCTGTTGTGATGCAATCATGACCAAACCCTGGAATAAGTTATGTTACTAAGCTCCTTAGGATTAAGTTGAGATAGACATCTATTCAGATTTCATAGATAAGACATGCTATTTACTTAACAAATTTGATTTTTATTTACAAAAATAACACTTGATTTCTGGTAAAAGGTAAAAAGAATGTCTGACTGAGTCAGTATCCTCCTCACGACATTTTTTTTTTTAATGCAAATATTTGAACCAGTCAGAAGACACCAAAACGGAGATTTAAAACAAGGGGTGGCCCATGGTGATTTTAATTTGTTGTTCAATCATAGGCTGTAAGAAAAAAATGTCAACATATTTTCAAAAATACAATTATGGCAATTTGAGAACACTTTGAGAAAAACCACACAGCGGTAACCCGTATATATAATGTATTATTGATACGTATGATTATTCATACTAGGAGACGTATATATTTTTAGCTGTTTATTAGTAGATAGTAGGTTCACATCAGCATTAGCTGCCATTTCCTCAACCTGCTTTACCAAATAAAGGATGTATGTATGTATGTATGTAAGTATGTATGTATGTATGTATGTATGTAACATCCCTCGATAAAGAATTTTAAAATGAAAGTATCTTGGTTGACGTTTTTCCAGTTGTTTTTTTTTTCTATTCTGTTTGCATAATGTGAACTTAATGTCATACCCTATCTTTAACCTTCAAGCTTAAACCAACAGTACAGTGGAAATAAGAAAAGAATTTCCAACAAATTTAAGGCAAAATACTAAACAATGAAATCAGGCCACTGTCTTAAGCCTTATAAGCTTGAAGTTTATCAGTTCCTGAGTTAAATATAAATAACAACCAAACCAGTCACGTTCAGGGCAGAATTAATCCTTGCCGGCTTTGATTCACGTAAACTGAACAATAGAATTGGGACATATGGTCAAAACGCACTTTTACTTGACCCTTTCATGGCGTCTTGTCGTCCAATATCTCTAGTTCTTGTTGCTAATTTGCATCTGCGGTTGAAAGCCATTTCCTTTCCACTGGCGGTATTGTTGATCTTTCCCACTTGGCCAATATTTCACCGATCATTAAAATAATTAACAAGAGAAGAGTCAATACATGAACCCAAAGCCGTATTTTGGTTGCACGTTTATTGTTCTCCTGAGAGCTAAGTTGTTTGTTTACGTTTGTATTGGTAAGGTCAAGACCATGGCCAGCCGCGATTGAAATTAGACCTGTGTACAATATGGCGCGACACACCCGTTATTTTATCTTATTTGCAGTAGGATACGAGTTATTATCTATTATAACTGGTCTTTATTACCTTTGGAAACGGGACAAACATCCCGATCTTTCTGTGCAACCATTCAACCATTGATTAAATTCTTCAAAGCTTGCTTTCTCAAATACGCAGTCTGTTTCCATAATGGTTTTCTCGCACGAACCTCCATTAACAGACAGGTTCTGTCTCGCACAAACTCGGAAATTTGTTCGAAGATCGCCAAGTTCCTGAGCCAGAAATTCAGGTGTCCAGTCAGAACATGCCCACTGCTTTGCTGCGCCATCAAAAACTGCCGGATCTTTACGTTCTAGTAGATGGATTCGAAGTTTTTCAGGACAGGAACTGAGCGATAAGCTTTGCACTTCTCTGTAGTGAGTTTTGTTTATTTTCAAACCGCTCTCGTCCGCCATGTTGAATGACGTCACAGCATGGTTATTCCGCTGTACAATAATAACCAAAAGGTGATAAGAATACCGGAAGTTGATATGACGCGATATGCGGGGGCATATCGGGGGCGTAGTTACATAGCGTCACGCACGTACAGTTCCAAAGAAGAAACCATCCTTGAACTACATGTCACGATCAAAGAAGTTGTTTTATGCCGTCAGAAACGCGAAATTCGTCGACATTTTCCTCTCCAAGATTCCTTATGTATTGTTTCTCTGATGGGTTTTGGTTTATCATCTTTCCGTGGTGTTTGTTTTCTTTTAATAAGATTCCCGGCATGTGATCATATTGTGATATGGAATTTACAACTAAGCTACGTGCAGTTATGTTTGCGTTATGCGCTCAAGAATAAAGACTTTAAATACAAGCATGGTATCATGGACGAAAATATCAGTTCCCACTCTCCATGTATTGGCCGTAAAATGTCAACAATTCTACCAAACGGTGATGTTACACCCAGCTAATCAATGGTGCGACATGGTATCAAAACCAAAAGAATGAGAAACACGCTGCTCACGGCAGAGATCTAATATGTTATGCCTAAATATAAATAGATAAATATTACAAATTTGATCATTCTGTTGTTTCGAAACACCATAGCAAAGTTCACAAGGATTAGTAGAATACTGTATCAGCTTTCAAACTCGTCTGTCAGTTCTGTTTTTAGCACTTGTCAGTTCTTTTCTATCCACACCAGTGTCATGAGTGTACTTACGTAGTTTTCCGTTTTGGTGCGGAAAGGTGAAGGGATCAAGAGCTCAGTATAGGACTCTTGATCATATCAATCCGCTTAAAATCGTGGGGTGAAAAAATTCTTAGGTTTTAGTCTTCTACGGCCGTACAATGATGATCCTTTACTTGTGCCATGTTACTGAACTTGTTCGCCGTCGACCGAAAAACTCCCACATTTCGGTGGCAATAAAATTTCACGAGGCAGCGTCCTGTTTAGAACAGGTGGGCGAGAAAAAGAATTGTGATATCAAGATATTTTCTCGCCTGTACGAGTAATGCGTCTTTCGGTATCGATGATAAGATTTAGCTCTCACATCCGGATAAAAAGCTCGACCCCTTCTCAGTTGTCATAAGGCGCAGTTGGCCATATACCCAAATAAAGTTCATGTTCTTTGTGGCACACGTTTTTCCTTTTCTAGGTCTTACACGACGTAAGCTGTTGCTAATAAGGAAAATTGGCGCAAGATAGAGAAGAGAGATCATCCTAAAAAAAAAAACAAAGAAAGCAAAAATCGTTTTTTTCTCTTTCCAATGGTACAGTTTCACCGTGATTTTAAAGCGAGGGCAAGTCTATGTCATAGACTCGATACAAATTTACTTAGTCATGGTTTACTAGGAATCGTGATGTAATGATGCGTTATTACCTTGATAAAACGGCTGTTCAACTTGGTGAAAAAGTCCGCTTTGTTAGTATCGTAAGGTTTTGCATTGAAAAAAGAAAAAAAACATAAACATTTTGAGTTTTTTGATTGTTTCTCCTTCCAAACTGACGGTAGACCTGGAAGAGAAGAGAAAAGTTAGTATTTTTCCGTTTTAGTCTGTTTGGGAGCAAGAAGCTAAACTATAGTTGATTTGTCATAGATGAAAGAATTTACAGAGAAAGCTGGATTGTAAAAAACGAGAGCGTCTGTGTTATTCTCCTTTTGTCAATCGACATCGAAGTGGGTCATTGAATTTGCTACACCGAGAACGGGAAAGTGAATCGCGCTTTCGAACAGTTTGTGGTTGTCAAAATGCCTGTCGAACACCTGGTTATCTTTTAAAGACCAGCGACTGGTGCACATGATTTTATTTTGATTCAAAAGACAATCACCTTCAAGGCATATGTTAAATGACATCGGATATGATCTCAATATTGTCATTGCGAAGCATTTCCTTAAGCACAGATCTAGTTTGATCACGTTCGTTGGTCAAACTCGGAGGAATAAGTACAACTTTCGTCAGTTGTTGTCATGACTTTCAATATCCGTTTCCAAAGAATCAAAAAGCATCAACTGAGTACATTTGCGCAAATTTTCCGTTTCATTTAGAAAGGACGATGGCAAGGAAATTGTTGTATTGGGGTGTGGTTAAAAGGTTTCCGTTTTAGCGGTACTCTCTTGAGATTAACCTTTCCCCTAAATCCTTACCCATCAACGGAAGTCGTGCGCGACCGGGCCAGCCGTGTCCTGAAGCCGACGCTACGATAATTGTTGACTGAGTTTAAGCTGTAAAGAAGTGCGTTTTTAAATGAATATATTTGTGTCAACTTATAACAAATGATGGATATTTTGTTGGGAAAGGTTGTACAATCCCCGCAAGCACCTTCATTTTTGTCGTTCTTTCTCAGGTAATTGAGGTTTCCATGGTACTGGTCCAGTGCTTCTGATTCTTCAGAGAAACTCTATTTCATATTTTTGTTTCATTTTTCACCTGACGAAAAATGAAATGTCGACCAAGCTAGAAAAGGGTAATTGAGTTTCATTAATTTTCATAACTGCTGCTGGTTTTACAGTTCGTGAATGATGTACAAAAGACTTTTTCTTTTCGCTGAGGCTTTTTGAGGCTTTGAGCGTTTGATGGGAGCAAAAGTTTTCTTTGCAATGCTCTCTTTTTGTTGATAAAATAGAACTATTCATATTGAAAACGAGGCCGTGAAACTTTACGAATATGCCTTCTTAAGCTTATTATCCTTTTCAGTTTTAAAATTGGTAACATCCATTTGAATTTTTCTGTTTCCTTTTTGGTGGTACACAATCCACTTTGAACCTTAGAATTCTGGTTTCCTTCTTCAGTGGGAAGCAAGCTCCAAACAACATCCTTGAAATTTCATGCTTGACAGCCGATACGGCGGCAGGCATGGCAGGCTGTGAGCGAAGCCATTTGGCAGCTGCGCACACCAATATTAGTTGGTGCTCGTATTGCTAATGTCGACTCCCTGAGGTCGGCCATTAGTCATCTCAATAGCTGCCATCATTACGCATTTATCAAATGGCATGACGTCATGCGAATGCGTTAAATATTAATAGAACGTGCCGCGTTTGCGCTTGTACTTCTCTTACCGGGCTGAGTGATGTATAACACAATTTCAGCCGTGTTTACAATACTAACGACCTTTGGAGATGCAAATTCTTGGCCACTTTATCTGCTAAAATTGCACATTACTTAGTGTTATTTTGAGCAGGAGCCGGGTATTTGTTGTAAGCAATTTCTATAGTTTCGTTTATCAGTGGTGCGACATATTTGGCCTAGCCACCCTGAAAGAGGGTTTGTGTTTGAAGGTCCAAGCCTCCCATTTCAATGATAATCAAGCCTTTGTTCCCTGCCAAGCCCACGACAGAATACCATATTTAGTTTTGCAAATTATTTCCCTTGAGTTTCTCTATTCAATTGCGGCTATGTACCCGTTTTCGTGACAAAAGCTCAAGCGAAAGGCTGAAGGCGCAGCTGCTACCGTGGTGGAAAGTGAAACCACGTGAGGGGTTCATTGGCTGTGCTTCGGCAGTGGTATATTTCGGCGGTTTTGGTGGCGAACAAGTCGGTTTAGCTAATTGATGCAATCTGTCATTGGCCGGTCAGCTAACTCGAGGCAAATTTCCACGAACACTGTTCCAATATAACGAGTGACAACGTCGAGGGAAGTAATTAAAATTTCACTTTTCATTTATTAGCTGAACAAAGACTAAAACCACAATGGAAGGCCCGTCAGCTGTCTGATTGGTTCAGGTGTTTTTGAGCGAATCATGAAAGACGAATTCGATTTTCTGTTTGTTGAGAAAATTTTTCTTTGCTAAAACTGAATGTTTGCGCTGATCATGAGTCGACTTGCCTTAGCGCGCGCGTATTGTTAAGCTTTTGGCTGAATGAGCAACATTTCAAGTGCGGTTAGAACTTATGTCAAGAATATTGGAAAGAATTTTTCAATTCAAAATAGCCTTGAGGCGAAAGGTGGTGATATTGTAATTTACATTCGCTTTCTGCAGTCGACTCAATATATATTCAAGCTTTCCTTTTCTTAGTGATGTTCTCTTCTTTTGTAAGCTGACGCACTCTTACCAGTTTGCGATGTTTCCTATAATAAAGATTTGCGTGGAGTCGGATATATGTAGTTTGACGTCATCGATGGTTTTTGCCAGGAGTTCGTGTCCCTGCGCTTTTCTGCTCCTCCGATTTATTCGACATGTAGTCGCCAAAACATCGGAAAGAGAAAAGCAATGCAAGAGTGAACTTCGCTTTTCATCTAGTCGAGTAACTAACCAAATAAATGGAAATTTAGCCCATAAGGCACATGACTTGTTAGTGAGGCGCAGAGTATGAACTTGGTTGCGTCGCAACCAGTAACAGCATTGCACCGATGTAACCGAGGCATCAAAGCTACCCGTTTCAGTCGACAGAAAAAAGCAAACAATAAATATTCTCACTCTGGCAGCCATTCTCGCGTCGAATTATTGCCAGTGATTGACTGTTTCGAAACGAGGGAAATTAAATAAATTATAAAGGGATTATGTTTCGGGGCGAATGTCACAGATATGTGGTCCAGGCTAGTAATCTTCTCAGGTCGAGTTCTTTCTCGATTCGACAAGCAGATTGTGACGCGAATCAGCACGCCTCAAAGGTCAATGGTTCTTCACGCTGTAGTGCCCTGTTCCGCTTGCTGTAGTCCGTTGTTCCGCTAGCTTTTGCGTTCTATTTTCTCTTTCGTGGAGATAGCTGTGATAATTATGTTGTATTACGAACACCAGCCCAGCTACCAAGAATTCTAAACACGCGCCGGCCACGCTGATTGGCTCGGAAGATGTCTTGTCCGATGTGAGCATGCGTAATTCGACGGGAAATGCACGTGTCAAAAGAATATATAAAAACAACAAAGCTTCCTTCTTAGTCTTAGAGATATTGTGTCATTAGCAGGGAGGTATCCTTTATGTTTTTCTATTTATCTAGAGCTTTTATGTCGGCCGCAGTCATTTGGGTCCCTTCGTAAGTGTGGTCCGTTGAGAATAGAATGCCATCAAGCATGTTGGACTCAAATCTTTGTCCACCAAAGGCGAAGAAATTCGCCCATAGTTGCCGAAACACCAGCTCAGGGAGGTTTACATACTGCGTACCGCCTCAACATAGATTATCAACCAACACAAGGATTTTTCAGCCCGAGGAGATGGAGTCTAGGATTATTTTACCGCCATCGTTGTTGACTCACTTAAGCGAGGAGGTTCTTGTGCTTATTTTGGAGTATTTGGACTTTAGGAGTCTTGTAATGTTGGGCAAAACTTGCCGACTTTTTCATCGACTCTGCCTTTCGGATCTCATATGGCGTCATCGATGTAGGGTGAGTTAGTGGTATTTTGAGTTTCTTTGTTAGTATCGAAGAAGTGAGTCATTGTTTTGATATTTTCATCGTTTGGTTACGATTTTCTCTGGAGTTCTGCTTATTTCTATTTACCCTTTGGATCGCCACCCCTAACTCGTGAGGTTTTAGAAATTCTCGTTCCACGAGTCGCGCTCTTCGCCCAGTTATCTTACCAATGATGTTCACTAGCGACGAAATTTTTTGGGCTTTCGGACAGATTTTCGGCGTAAAATATACCGGGAAAGTATAAAATAAAGGTAGTGAGTTGCCTTTCTCTACACTCCTTTGTATTGTCCGCCTCGAATGAGGCAGCGAAATGTTTTACATTTCCATTTCCGATCCATATAACATGCGGTAGTTGTACCCGTTCGGGCAGAATATCTGACAGAAATTTGTTCTTTCTTCCTTTAGAGTGTTCAAAGCTTATCAACGTAGTTATTGGTATATACGGAATAATCCTGCTTTTGTCATTCTGTCGCTATGTTGATGATATTTCTTTAGAATTCGTGCGTTATAAACATTCGAGTAACGAAGAGGGCAAGTGCTTTCACCAAGATCTAATATATTATTCAAGATATAAAAGCTGCCAAGAAATTCGAGCTCTATTTCTTTTGGATATTTTTCTTACAAGGCAAAGAGTTGACAGCACGATTGAATCTGTTGATTAAGGGCGCGAGGAAGGCTCATGGAACGATTAAAACAGCCGAGCCTATTGACCGCCTGCCGTATCCGGGTTGGGAGGAAAGAGGGTGTTTCGCGTTTCTATTCGTCGGCGTGCCTCGTTTCGTGTAATGATGGTGGGTTATTGAAATGGTAATGAAGAGATCGATTTCAGTGAATACAAGTGGTTGGTGTTCAATAGACGACTTGTGTTAAATTTTGCGAGAAAAGAGTTTTGTTCTTGTGATAGTTTATCGCGCGTTTGGCATATTTCATAGACTTGACAATGTGCCCCCATCTCCCCTTTCATTGGCGACCGAGACATGGGCTTGGTGATTTTCAGCGTCCTCCGTAAACACGGTGTTGATTTAGTTTGGTACAAGAGCTTGTCGAAGTGGTGAAATATGCACAGCTTTTTTTCAACAGAAGACATGAATAAATAAATTGAGGCTTTTTGAAAGGAAGTTTTCGCGATATTATCGCGACCGGAATCGATTGTTTTGTGTTTCTTTGGCCAGGTCCATGGCAGCTGCACCGTGTTTATCCATCGAAATAGAACCTATGTTTTCTCTCTTCAAATTCCCTGCTTGTTGTTAATTACACATAATTTTTTTGTCCTCAAAAGGAAGGAGGCAATTTTCATGTTTATCTTAAAGGCAATCTCTCTCTTCATAAGCTGTCTTTTAAGAGCAATGAAAAGAAAGGGTCCTCGTGCAACCGTTTTCTACTCATTAGGGTTTTCCCGAAGTCTACTTTCACACGGAAAGCTTTCTGCGCCAAATTTCCTCGGCTTTTCAGGGTAGAGAATTGCTAGGTTTAAAGGTTTGACTAAAAAATCGCAAATACAAAGAACTTCTATGATAAAACTTAGGTTGAAACTTGCCAATTTTTGTAAAAATAATTTTGGAAGAATAGTGTTAACTTTGTTCTGAATAGCACAATAAATTTTAGCTACAACGCTATTATTTTTACCTCTCTGCTCATCACACAAAAATACCAGCTGAATTTTGAGAAGTTTCATCCTCCCATATTCATGTTGGAAACATAAATGTGGAAAGTTAAGAACTCTTCATTGATGTTTATGGAAAGGAGTATTTTATCAAAAGTCGAATTTACATTATAATTCAAAAAATAGTTGTTAAGTTTCTGAGGTAGGTAGTTCTACCTTTAAAAAACGTACCAACAGTATCTGTATCTGAGGTCCAACTACTCTGATTTTTTAAAAAATAGTATTGGGTTTTTCACTTTCTTTCTTGAAATAAGCCACTGAAATTTTTTTTCTCCAGAACAAGACTTTCCCTCCACTGTCAGTCAAACAGTTGAGAATCAAATTTATGAATAGTGAAGCTTGTAAACCTTGAAAGATATTACTGAGAAACTGAGCTTGGATGTGGTATTGCACATGCTTAAGGGTGAAAATCTGTCTATCACAATAGATACAGATTGTCTCGATCAATCCAAATTGTTGCTGTTGCTATATAGACTTCAAATGGTATATTGGTAGCCTCACAATTTTCTCATTTTATGCTAGTTGAAGCACATGTGTTTGCCTTAATTTACAATTTCGAGTCAGTTGAAGTTCATGTGTGGGAAAGTCTTGTTAAAATTAAAGGGACCAATTTTGCTCTAACTTCAGTGGCAGAAAACTCGTATTGATAGAACCCTTCATTGCAATTTTGTCAATTAGTTGTTAATTGTGCCTTGAGGATGTGGTCAACTCTTTAAAGGCAGATTTTGTTTGGAAACCATGGCAGTACATCTTAATTCCAATTATTTTTGATAAAGTTTAAGTAACTCTTGCATCTTTATTAAAGTAAATTGCATCTATTAAAAAGTGGTTTACATCAAACCTAAGAATTCTTTATACTTTGGTTGTTCTTAGTACTTGTAAGACATGAACATGTCACAAGAACCAAGTTAGAATTTGTTTTATCCCAAACTTTCATGTTATTCACGTATTGGTATTGTCTTTTTCAGGTGGATTTTGGTCTCAGAACAAGATGGCCAGAGTATACTTTTACTTACCTCTACGAAATGTTTTACAAAGCAGAAGTACTTAAAAATGATCACAATTTTTTCAGACCAGTCAGTCAACTTAAAACATCTGTTATTGTTTGGTATCTGTTGAATCCTGTTCCTCCGTCTCAAAGTGTAAGCCATTTAACAGCAAGCCAGGCCAAGTCAATATGGGGATTAACAGATGAGGAACTTGAATCAAATTACCATGACACAGACAGAGGTAAATTTTGCTCACCTCCTAGACTTTTGCTTCAAGTAAAGCTTGGTGTTGAAAAAAAAGCTGACTCTTCAATAACATCCTAGCATGTTGAGTATGTATTGACTGGTATACAGAACTTGAAGACAACCCCACAAGTCTTAAGTTCCTAGTTTCTTTGGTCATCAGTGGTTTGAGACCATTTTTACTCAGTAATAGTTTTAACACACTGATGTAAGCATTTTCATGTTGTAATTTTGGTATGTTTCTTTCTTTTTTCCTTTGCAGAAAGAGAATTGCAAGAAGATTTTCCTTCTAATTATTATGAATGGACTAGCTTATACAAACTTTTTGTTCGCAAACATGGTGGAATTAGACAAATGCAGACTTATGTTCTCAAGCGTTGTCTGAGAAATCGGCAAGCCCTTGAGGAACACTTTCAACTTTCTTTGCACTCTTCGCGGCAACAGAAATGGTATCAATTTTTGGAGGACAGAGATGCTGGAAACCGAAAGGCACTTAAAGCTTTAACAGAGCACATGCCAAGGGTAACTCACAGCTACATGTTACATCAGGTATGGGGCCACTTGCTTTCCAATAGTGAGGGTGATACAAAAGAAATCAGTGCTGATGGAAAAGTTGATCCAGAAGCAATTGCTGGAAATCTTCTCTTTTATTTAATTTGCATTTGGGAATCATGATCTTCAATTTGTTCAATTTTTGATGTGGACAAATCTTAGATTTTTATTTATACTTAGCCTGAACAACTATTTTAAATACAGCAAAAATGCAATTGTACTTGTTACATTTACTTTCATTTTATTAATTATTTCTACATGCATTTGATTAATGGAGAATCAAACTCAATACCAAAGGGCAAGTGAGCAATAGAGTCACTTGCCCAGAAAGTATGTCTACTTACCCTGCAAATCTGGTTATTGTTTCTTGTGCCTTAAATGGTGCCATTCATTTTTATTGCTGATGCTTTATCTATCTTTTTTTGTGTACTTCAGATCACAGCAATGTACATAGATGGACACCTCAAAGGTGGTTTTCAGACTGTAGAGGCATATGCTGGATTCTGTGGCTACTTCAAGAACTGGCTGGATACCAAAAGCATCAAGCTAAGTGTGCCTCGCCAAGGGGAATTGGTGGCTGAAGATTACAGAGCTTGTCTGGAGTATGTCAACAGTGAGGTAACTGATGTGTTGAGCCTAGGGATCTTGTGTGGTCACTTGACCTTTTCTTCCAAGTTTTTAATGTGCATTTTTCAATCTATGCATAGCATGCATATGTGCTTTGACAAAGTTGGTGCACATTAAAGATGTGTTCTGAATTAACCTTTATTTCACAGCTTGCAAAACATGCAGAGGAAATAGAGTTGACTGTGAATGATTTTATGAGTAAAGCCAAGCCATATGTGGAGAGACTTCACGAAGTGTGGATGTGGCAAAACCAGAATGACACGGGTTACAGGAAGGAACACAGACCCTCCTCAGTGGTGAGGCGCCACAAGTGTTACAGGTAAGGTGCAAACTATCATGCAAAACATTACTTGTGGTAAAAGGGGCCAGTTTCTAAAAAACCTGCAGTGCTGCAGAGGGGGGGGGGGGTAATATGAGATTATTTGGTTTTATTAACCAAGTAGATAATGAAAATTGGCCATTGTAAATGAAGAGTGTTAGCTGTTGGCAGGAGTGAATTACTCTTAGTAGCGTAGTTTCTTTATTTAAGTCACTGTGGCTTTCTTGGATATTTTGTTTACCAAAAGCAAAGTCAAGTGGCACAAACAGTGAAGTCTAGTTTCAAGTCCTCTCCTTGCATGGTTATAAGTGGCACCATTATTTTTTACTTATTTGCATTGGACAGAAGAGATCAAGAGAATATCATTAAACGTTTCTCTACTTGTGGAGAGAAGTTGTGCCATACTGTGATCAATTTCTGCTGCTGCTGTGCTTCTGTAAAATAGAATTCTCTTGTAGCAATTTTTTTATTCGTTGGGTTTTCTGTGGAATTCTGGAACTTCTTTTGTGGACAATGGTACAGAAAGTAGGGACTAACAAAAACAAGTGAATTGCTCTCATTTGGCATTTTAGAGATTTCGAGCAAATACTATGGAGCATATTTGATGTTTTGTTAAAATTTGACCACTAGTTTATGGATACAGCTGACTTTCAATTGACATCACTTTCACTGATAGACAGTTATAGAACCTCCCTTTTGTTATCCAGATAACAGCTCTGGGTCCTGGAGTGAACTTTATCAATAATGATATTATGTTCATAAGTAACAATGATAATCTTTGCAATTCCAAACACCTCCCAGCGGTTACAAATTGAAAATATTTGTGTGGCCTGTTTCATACCAATATTGCAGTCTCTTTTTTTGAAGTCTTTATGGTCAAAACAACATGGATGGGTAAGATCACTGTGGAGATTTCAAACGACAACAGTGAACTTGTTTTTATCGAGTGAATTTTCCTCTTTGAGTTTCTGTCTCTGTGTGTCATTGTTTTCGTTTTGTGAAATACATCAAAACATTGCCCTTGGCCAAGAGCAGTATTGGTCGTTTAAGGATGCCGTGCTCACAGCTTAGTCCAAGTGATCATTAGTTATTTGCCATTATCAAAAATAATTTGATGGTATTTGTTGGTACAGCTGGTGAGCAATCTTGAGAGTTGTTAAGAGATTAGTTGGTTTATTCTGCCCAGTAGCGACATCCCTCATGGATTATAAATTGAACAATTCTGATCCAGACACTGAATACATTCGCATTGTTCGTCTGTTGTTCACTTATATTGCAAAACCTTAGGGCAGCCAAAAAAGGTCCTTCCTGTGGGCTTGCATGCCTTTGGTGCTTTTACCGCAATCTGTAATTAACACTACAAACATTGTTGGTGTTTCTAAAATAGTTTTGATGAGGAGACTATTGAGATTGTGTCGTTTTTGTTTTAATTAATGAGCCACTTGAAATATAGTGAAGGCGTTCTTTTATGTTTATTCACAAGGCATCTAAGTACTTTATCTCAATAGCTTTTCGCTTATAGCGCTGCTCTTTGTGTTATGGCGGTAGGTCAGCAAGTTTATTAGGTAGGAGTTGACTACAGAGCCCAGCTGTTTACCTCTTCACCAAGTGAAGTGTCGTATAGCTTGATGAGAATTTTACGGAAGTGCTTTTAATCATATTTTAGAGGCAACCATGTTAACTTTAGCTTTTTGTTACTGACGCCTTTCACAGTGTATCGTTACGATATGTAAGTGGTGGTCATTGCGGAAGTTCTTTGGTTTCAACAAACATACATATTGCACGAGCAGTTCAGAAGTTCGTCACTTGAACGTATTTGCTTTCATTCGTGTGCTAAACAACAAGTATCACCAAACCCAGCCTAACGTCGTCTCGAGTGCCTATTACTTGAGTATTTTGATGATCCCTGATATTTCAACTTCTGACAACAATCGAGTGATGATTAGTGATATTAGACCTGCATGACAGCAGCCACAAAACCAATATCTCAAGCGGACCTTCATACCTTGCATTCACTTTATAGAATTAATACCCAAGATTCGCTCCCGGCTACAAATGTGAATATGAAAGGATTTATTGACCTGAGTGGTGTGGTGAACAAGCGCCGCATTCCCCGCAGATTAAATATGCTCACCCGCTTAATCGGTATTTAGTTTTGGCATTCAAGTAGAACGTCTTTTATCAATTCCGATTCTTTAATATCAAAAAGGTAAAACAGCATTAAGTCCTTGTCTAGATAGTTCGATATTACTAAGAGCAGCATTTGAAGTGTTTTCCTCATCACGTCCTCTTAGCACACACCATGTTTTAAATTTTTGTGAACTGAAACGTGTAACTTTTAGTTGAAGCGTCTTTGCCGGTCATAAGCGATATTAGTGGCGGATGAAAATGACCTGTTGCGTTTATTATTAAAGGAAATCAGACTAGTGTGTCGCTTGTTTAACTCAATTAAAATCCAAGCTATTTTTTTCTTCGTTTGTTGTTAGAGAGCAAGGGAAGTTTAAACAGTCCCATGTAAATTTGGCGCAGTACTTGTCAGCCTTGCTTTTTTTTCATTTAAAACCTTCTCAACCCCGCCTTAATAATTTCCATTTAACAATTTCGTTCTTTTTTTACAAAATGTTCACGCCTCTATTCTTTTCCCTAAGGGAATTTTTGGAGAAAGGAAATATGGAGGATTTCAACCGTCTCAAGATGTATTTTGAAAGAAAAGAGATAGTTGTAGCGTGGTTTAAGGAGAACAGCTGGTTACACACACTTCTTGGAGATTTTGTGATGAGACCTCTGAGGCCTGCGTGTTTATCATCAGACCTATCATCTTCACACTTCTCGTCCGATTGCGTGTCTGGACTGGTTCAGAGGTAACAAATTCTTAACAGTTGCTTTACTAGTAGAATGGGAGATCGATTAGAACCCTTGGTCGTGCGAATCTTGAAGTGAATGGCACGAAAACGCTTAAAGTGCGGTCGATAACCCCAACCTTCCGCTGATAATAAGCGGACATTCTTTTGGTTACTTACGACGTTTTAGGTATTTGTACCAAGGCTTTTTCGCTCTTTAACAAATTATTCGGAATGCGTGGGATATTGGTCTCGAGTACCAAAACTACAAATGCATTAATGGATGATCTGCGACTCTGGTGACTAGTTCACCTGAGCTGGTTGACAGTCGTTGATTAGCGCTAACCATGCAAAGTATTAGGGCGTATTACAGCACATTCTCAGTAGACCTTTGCCTCGCACCGCCACTTAACCTGTGGTTTCCTTTTCAGACCGCCGACCCACACCGCTGGGGTAGGTTGACATTTGCTCCCTTTCCTCCTGGCACTATCAGTAGCTTTTTTTACAGCTTTAGTTCTTGCTTCTAATGGCTTATATGTTTGCTTCTCTCAGGTTTTTGGAGACTGGTTATCGTTCAGACTTCAACAAAATCCGAATGAAATTGTCCGAAATGGCTACACTTCAACTACAGAATCTTGTGCGAAAATCTCGCCAGCTGCGAGACTCGATTCAGCAAGACGTCATGAAGGACGATTGTGTGTACGTCAGTGACTACGAAGAAAGAAACCTGATGAACTTTTTCGGTAGGGACCCGTTCTCGGAATACGGTCGGCGGAGAATAGAAGTAGTCACCTTAGATTAAGTAGAGAAGGTTTCCTTGACTACATTGATTTAGTGTACAGTCAGTAAGCTACAACCTCTTCGCGCTTTATTTCAAGGTGACCTTTGTGTGGTGTTCAGATGCTGCTGTGCTATTTCCTTTGGCTCAACGCGGTTTGATTTTTTGACTCGATTATCCGGTTCCTAGATAGTCTTTCTTTGAAAAAAAAAAAAAAAAACTATATATATATATATACATATTCGAATCATGTTCTTGCAATGTTTGTACGTGGAATCGAGAGTCCTTGATTAACTTGAGTTCTTACTACTGGTCAAATTCTTCGACCAGAATTCTGCTTAAATTCACAACGTTTTGTTTCTGTTTCATAATCAAATCTGTAGTTAGGTCCAAGAATGATAAAGGTTTTTCTGTTTAGATATAAGTGAATTATTTATTATTTCAAGTCGAACTTATTTTGTACAGTATTGTTAGCCTCGAAAGAAAAAAAAACTAGGAAAAGAAATATTTGAAAGCAAAGCATTTAGTAGCCATATTGCGACTACGCTGTTGTATTATAGGACGTCAAAATTAACTAGGGGGGAGGGGAAAGTCATAATTGCTTGTCCAGTATGGATGGCCCTTTATGGCTCAGTTACACTAGACTCTATCGCAAAGTTACGCTTTGTATACTACTTGTGTCGTTAATTTTGTACGAAATATTTTTACACGGATTTAATATTTTCGGAAGACTTGTATTATAGATATTTAAGCTTATCGTAATTTGTTGAGAACTTCCATCCAGTTTTCAAGAAAAAAATACTAAAGAAAGATAATTTTTTTTGCCGACCAAGCGGTCATGATAATGTTGAAAAAGCGTACGAGTTATTTATTATCCAAAGGAATACTATTTAGTTAAATTATCTGATTTACTATATGACATGAAGCTTTAGATTGTGGTAGTTTTATACTACTCAATGCCAAATCTCATCCAAATGAGCAGAGCAGAATGCTTGATTAAAGAACATTGCCAACGTTGAATTGAAATGTTTTGTTTATGAATTGTAAATACTCATAATAATAGTAGTAATAATAATAATAATAATAATTCACCATAATCACAAAAATTATAACAAATTATGATAACATGCTTGAGAATCGAAAAAAAATGTGTTAAAATGTCTAATAAAAATGTAAGAAAAACTAGAGGATACACATTATGATAACGATAATTCACTCTAATCATCAAAGATATTTCCAAACAAATTAAGATAAAATCCTTAAAAAGTAAAAAAAATACATGAAAATGTCGACTAACAAATTATCTAAAATAAAAAACTAACAAATGGCAGCCTCTGAACTTTGAATATCTAGGTCTACATTAGTAAAATCCAATTTTGGCCTTCTAATTGTTCTGGATCGTTTTAGGCAGATTAGAGCGGATCTTAAGAATGCAAACGAAGTTTTTGCCCTGATCCAGGAAATTGTCTTTGAATAGTGTTCTCCTTTCTTGTCTGCAATGAGTTCTGCAAGGCGACCGTGATATTTCAAACATTCTTGGCCCATTCCACCAGTCGAAGTAAACACAAAAGGCGTAAATGAACCATGCTCGATGTCTAGAACACGTTTGGAGTAGGAACGCTTCTTATTCTCATGCATGCGGTAAATCTGCTGCGGTTTCAGATTTCTGTACGATTCAGCGTTTGGGTGACAAACTCGAATATCGAAAAATGCAGATCGATTGTGTTCCCAGAATAATATAAAATAATAATAATAATGATAACCTTTGCAATAATTTTTGTCAGAACCTGCAAGCCGCACAATAGAAATTATCAACTTATTCACTCGCACACTCAACGTGGAATTATATTGAAAGTTACTTGGAAGGAGGTCAGTTCGCGAGGAGTTTTATAAAAAAGACACACCTTTGTACTCCGCTCTTCCACCCGTCGCACAGAGTGAAATTTTCGGAAAGATCTAAACTGATCTACCATGCCATCACTCATCTCCCCACCACACGAAAAGGATCTACAATAACGTGAACATATAAAGTTTTATGCGAATTCGAGAACGATTTCTGTCTTGCTTTTGCATCCCTCTGACTGACTTTATCATTCTCAGGGCTGAACATTTAAGAGGCAGATTTAATTTTAAAGCTCTTTAACCTTCACGAGCGTGAACGGAAAAGCCTTAAGCTGGTTACCGAATTCTTCAAAAGATCCAAAAATAAAATGAGATGTCACATCTTTGATGTCCTCAATGCTAACTATTAACTACTGACCCCTTTAGACCCTAGGAGTTAACCAGCAGATTATTTTTCCTTACGTTGATGCTACGGAATAATTCATTAAGTGAGAATAAAGAAAATGTTGCCAACCTAAGAAGCTCTTCTCCAGAATATGCATACTGATTTGGGGGTAAAAAGTTTTAGCTTTGCCGCAAAAGGTTAATCCAAGCCTGTTGTGCCGGTGTAAAATTTTTTCATCAGTTTATCAAATAATGATCTTTATTGCTGAGTTATACGATGGATTAGTTTGGGTACAACTGTTTACCAATGGACGTCTTTACAACAAGATCAAGTAATACACACTGAAACTCAAGTTAACCAACAGTTGTCCGATCGTAAAGGTTAGCATCGCCAATACTTTGTCAATAGCAAGGCATGGCATAGTGGTTAGTAACAATATGACTGTTATTATTTTGGCCTGTACGTTATTTATCTGTAACCACCTGGAAATAAGGCTGATCTGACTAGAAAATAGATATTGGGCCAAAGTGCGTCACTATGGCCAAATAGTGCTTCGCCTTACCCTCCATGAACCTTAATTGCCTAGCGGGGATGGAATCGTCGGTAACGAATGTTTTATGTGAACCCTTGATCCTTTTTTAAGATTTCATTTAAAGTAACAGGTTTACGGAGGGTAGAAAAGGGCCAATGAAGTTTGGATTTAATATCGTAGGGATTTCTGCTTCGGACTAGTGGAACTGACTCAGTAACGTATCCGGGTCATGCACCAGGTATTAACTTGAAACAAAATGTATTTCAAAATAATACTGTCAGTGTCCTTACCAGCAATGAATGTTGTAGTCATGACCGTCAACAATTATGAACAGGTCACCTTAAGTTAGCAACTCAGGAAGGTCATTTACAAAAAAATTCAGGCCCTAAAACTGAACAATGGAGTAATACAACCTTTTAAGTTTGGGCTAGAATTTGTTTCCTGATATTTGACCATACTTTTTGCCGGCGAACATATAGTCGGCAAGCTTACTGATATGTTGCTAGGATATCCGTGATGTGCCAACAATCTTTAAGTTTTCGGGGAGATGGTATGGTTCATACAACGCTACATGCTTTTCAGGGGCAATATAAAGCAACCCTACTTTCAGATCCTGGTTCAAAGCGCCCGGCTTTCCAAATTAAGTGGAGTGTACTGAAGTGAACCTCAACTTCTTCTGACTAACTGGTCTGTCAACAGTCTGTTAGGTCTTTCCTCAAATGTGGAGGAAGTGAGGTCGGTCTGTGCTTATTTGCATCAGTAAGAGAACCACTCTTTAGCATCACTGTTGGAAGCGAAAGATACATTGCTTAATCATTCGAGGACTATACATTAAAGTATCACCAGCCAGGGAAGACATGAAACTCAGGACTAGTGGCCTTGTCAGTTGAAGTTTTAAATTAGATCATTTCTGTATGTCAACTCAGTGATGGGGTGGGTCAAGCTCGCGCTCTCTGATAAGCTGAACAGTCAATGCTGTACTCAGTCTACTTTAGTCAAGGGTTATTAACTCCTAATTATTTTGAAATGTTTTCCATTCTAGATTTCTGTAAGACTTGACCTTCCAATCCAGCGGACAAAGGAAAATAAACACAAGACTACCTCTTGATTTCGTCCCAAATTCGGCCCCTTCCAACAGGGACGGTGTAATGGACTGGGTTTGAATGTGGTACCCAGTCTCTTTACCATTTTTGTGAAAAAGCCTGTTACTTTTTCCTTTGGTGCGTTTGCAAACGAATTTCGTCCTTCTACTTTTTTATGTTGTTGGGAATGCTACAGGGACGGAAATTTCGGAGATATAAGGCGAGCTGAACAGAAATCGAGTATGATAGGTGATACGTCGAAATATAACGTTACAAATGGTTATTTGCACATGGCTTCTGAAGTTTTCAGATGAAATGCATCTTCAAATAAAAGCAGTTCACATTCATACTTGTAGGAGACAATAAAAAATATCTTGAGCCTGTCAGGGTTATATTATTTTTCTTTATTATTATCCAAGTGATGGATGCGAAGGAAAGAGGCATATCAGGGCTAGATCTATCTCAGATTTTCCCCACTGAGATCACCTTCAAGATTCTTGGACTGTTAGATGTGGTAGCCGTATGTCAGTGTGGACAACTTTCTCGAAAGTGGAGGGATCAAGTGACTGAGTACCTCAGAACTGTACTTTGCCTGGATTTTGCACCTTACGAATCAATTCTGACCGAAAATGGATTGAAACATTTGCTCATGTATACCAGTAATCTGCGGGTCCTTCATCTTGATTCATGTTGGCCGTGTGTAACAGAGGAGAACTTATTTTTGATTGCCAAGAATTGTAAAAAGCTGTCTGTTCTCACAACAAGCAGATGTAAAGGAGTTACTGACGCTGGGCTCGAAGCAGTATCGAGGTACTGTAAAGAATTAACAGAGCTGGATCTCAGTAGCTGTTTTACGGTAGATGAGTGATTAATACTGATGATGTTCTGTATTAATTTTTTTAATATGATGGTAACAAGATGCCATGGAACTCTAAATACCTGAGAACAAAACAGTGACATATAGGCTGATATGAAAATTTTTTCAACTGTATGTTTCAAAGCCCTAAGTATCCAGTATCTGGGTAGGCAAATAGTCAACAGGATCTAAGACCTGGTCTATTTGATGGTATCATGTTAGAACGCTGGTTGCCATATGTCTTCAGCTGTTGAATTATACATGACAATATTACCCTTAACTTTCCTGTCTTAATGATCAAGAGGCAATTTTAACTTATTTCATCCCAAACAAAGAAGAGGAGTATCATGGATCCTCTACTGCATGTCAATCCTAGAATTATCAATAATAGAATGTCAGCCAGTAGTTAATAGACATCATTCAAATTCAGCTTAATTAATTAATTAATTAATTAACCCTTTCACTCTCAGGATCTCATTAGGAATTCTCCTTACCATCTCCCATACAATTATCATGAGGTAGTTACAAAAACTAAGATCCTGAAAATGATGAAGACTCAAGACCCCCTCTATGAAAACCAAGACCCATTACAAAAACGAACAGCCCTTACAAAAACCAAGACCCATTATGGAAACACTAAAAAAAATCAAAAACAAAACAATACAGAAACAAGACATCTGAATTCTTTGCTGGCAAACACCACAGGGAGTAATGGTGTTTTAGTCATGTGTCTTTGTTTTCGTGATGGTTTTTGTTTTCGTTTTCGTAGGGGTCTTCATTTTTATAATGGGTCTTTGTTTTCGTAATGGGTCTTCATTTTTGTAATGGGTCTTCATTTTCATAATGGGTCTTCGTTTTTGTAATGGGTCTTCATTTTCGTAATGGGTCTTTGTTTTTGTAGGGGGCCTTAGTTATCGTAATAGGTCTTCATTTTCGTAATGGGTCTTCGTTTTCGTAGGGGGTCTTAGGTCTTCATTTTCGGGGTCTTTGTTTTCATAACTACCTGTTTTCACACCCTTACTCCCTGTGGTTTTTGCCGGCAAAGAATTCAGGTATTGCTTTATTGTTTTTATTGTTTTTGTAATGGGTCTTTGTTTTCATAATGGATCTTTGTTTTTGTAATGGGTCTTTGTTTTCATAATGGGTCTTCGTTTTCGTAGGGGGTCTTCATTTTCATAATGGGTCTTCGTTTTTGTAGGGGGTCTTAAGTCTTCGTTTTCGGGGTTTTTGTTTTCGTAACTACCATTCTCATGATGTTAGTTTGGAAATTTTGGTATTGGATCATCTAATAATCCCTTAATTTACAATCTCTTTGTTTTTATCTCTTGTCTGCTTGATATTGTGTTATTTTTGTAAGGAGAAATTCCGTTCAGGGCAATCATGGGAATCAATTTTGGTAGTTAAATTAGCAACAGTAAGAACTGCTATTATTGTTTCAGTTAGACATCTTCAGAGCAGTGTTTTGTGGCTAAACAAATCTTTGGTTTCTTTATACTGTAATTTTTTTTTTCAGATCTCAGATGCTGGTGTCATAGCTTTGGGTGAGAGATGTTCTGCTCTTCGAGAACTTCATGTCAGTAGCTGTTATGGTGTGACTGATAAGAGTATTGGTGTTTTAGCCAAGCAGTCTTGTGGCTTAACAGAGTTAGATGTTAGTTGGTGCTTCTATGTCACTGATCAGAGTATTAAAGAATTTCTGTCACCAAGTTGCAAGCTGGAGCTTCTGAGAATTAAGGGTTGCACTGTAAGTACCTACTTTTCTTGAACAGTTAAGGTCAATAAGTGTATACTGATAACTTTTAGTTAAGGTCAATAAGTGTATACTGATAACTTTTAGTTAAGGTCAATAAGTGTATACTGATAACTTTTAGTTGTCACACCAATGACAAGAGGAGTCCTTCATATAAACACTTCATTGTACAGACCCGGTCTTATAAATCAATATCTATGATACTAGAATCCTGAATATGATAATAGGGCTCAATGACCTGGCTAATCTTCAAGATGGTTTTTGTATTGGTGAAGAAAGTAGTATAGTCTGTCACAAGTAATAGTAATTTGTTAATAATAGTGCATGGACAGAAGACATGTTATTTGGCATGTTTATTGATTATCCTATGATTTCCAGAACATTCTTGATTAGTCCTTTGGGAAAGTTCTAGTGGTTTCGACATGAGTACGAGACGTCTATTTTTAGAAACTCGAGTTGTTTACCGTAAATTCTGGAAAATTCTATGATGTAATGTTACTAAAAATAGTCGTGTTGTAAATCTGTAGAATCTTCTAGAAAGATTGTAAGGAACTATATAAGAAGGTGCAGTAGGTTGTTGCATTTAGAGGAAAAAAAAGAAAAAGAAGAGAAAAAGATGAAGGAAATAAAGGAGTTAGTGAAAACAATTCATTTTAAGGTTTATCACAAAACCAGTGCATACCGGTAATATCCTTTTTCCAGTGTCAAGTCGAAAGCTTGATAAGAAAATGTACAGGCATTTACGTTAATTATTATAACAGGGCATCAACTGGATTCTTCCAATCTTATCAGTCCAGTGCAGGCTGTGACATTGCTGCCAGTTGAGAATTCAGAGTCCTGTGTTCTGCCTGTGCAGTCCCCCTTTTGTAGGATTAGATTGGAGTCTTTCTTTTAAGCTTCAAAGAGAAAGTCATTGTTGATAATACAAATATTCATTTTAGTCATTAGCTTTAGGAAAATTACAGATGGTTTGTGTTTACAAGATGTAGAGGTTAAGAATATGAAATAGCACCATTTATTTTGATGTACCTTATCTTACAGGTTTCAGAAGGACTGATCTCCAAGCTTATGGCCAAAGGGATTGTTGTGAACAACTTTTTTTAGTCTTTCAAATTAAACAATTTTTATTGTAATTATAATTATTATTTTCATTTTATTTCTTTTACGAGAACATCTATAATCTTAAACAAACTTCAGGGTTCTTTGACCAATAATCATTCAAGTTCCAAAGTACATTACTAACATAGACATGATATCCATGCACACACATATCATTCCTCTGTGTTTGTTTTTTTGTCCATGTAAAGGTTTCAGCTCAATTTTTACACTATGTTTTCTCAACTTCTTATTTTTTTTGACATTTTAAAATTTTTATTATAACAAAAGAACACTACTTACAATACTTAAATTAACTTTATTAGGATACTTACACAGAAGTTATCTACATACAGCCTAGATTACATTACAATATTTATAAGTATGGTACTTAGGAACCTAACATTATTTACAGGGAGGGGGTGGGGGCTGGTGGAAATGAGGGGGAGACCAAAATTTTATGTGCACATAAAAAGGGGGACCAAATAAAATTCTGCAATATCAATACCAGGAAAATTGACTTTTTGTGTTTTAATTGGAGACTCTGATAAACTAAAGACTCAATCTCAATCTAAACAAACGGTTGACAATTGAAAGTCCTTAAAGTATTTCTTCCTCAGATTCACTTTCCCCTCTGTCACTTTCATCTCCTTGTGCATCACTTTTAAAAAAGGTAGGATGGTATTCTTCATAACATTTCATTTTGGTTTACATAAAATGTTTTGGTATAGTATCTTTAATAATTTTTTGAGTGCCAAAAAATTAATTTAAAGAACAACAGATTCTCAAAATTGATTTGTGAGGAAACGTGTAGCAGCTAGAGGGGAAACTTGACAATCAGATATTGAGAGTTAAAAGGTTGAATAAAATGTTGACTAACTACTCTGTGGTTTACGTGACATTTGTCGGCAGTTCCTTTTTATATAATTGTCTTTGAACAACTGTTGGTTTTATCGTTAGTGTTGATGTGTGAAGAGAGGAACTCTTGGATTTGTCAAGAGACACATAGATGGTAGGCCTGTAGTCACACATCCGGAGGCTTCTGATCGGTTACATCGTTCTCTTGAATCCTGAATATTTGCCCCTGCTCAACCTCGAAGATTCTCATTTCTTCAGTGTTTTCGCCCTTTGGAAAATAGAATTTGTCGTGGAGATGAATTTAATCTCATCAGATAGGGTCTGGTCAAGAGTAGAATAGACAATAAATTTGTTTCGCAATCTTCCTAATAGTATCGCCTCTGACTTTCTGTATATTAAAAGAGGGGGGAAAAGAGAAAAAGAGAAATCGTGAAGAGGTCCCACCGAGATTTGAACTCGGATCGCTGGATTCAAAGTCCAGAGTGCTAACCATTACACCATGGGACCCGCGATTGAAAGACGCGCGGAAATTTACATATAGAATTTTTTTTAAAAGCTAGAATTTCTTAAAATTACCGCTGGCTTTGTTCGTTTCTTCTCGCTCCTTTCGCTGAGCTGACACATTCGTAACGTAGGCAGCACTCTTTTCGTTTTGGTCGCAAAATATTTGAAAACAGTTGGTCAATACGTCGAATAACTAGTATGGTCTTTGCATGTCAACAAGATTCTTTCCTCAGAGAGCTGAGGACACAAGTGGTGTCCTGTAAATCCAGCAAACTTGCCGGCCAAGCTGCTTACGAAGTTGTTCTGGAAGACACTGTCTTGTTTCCTGAAGGAGGGGGTCAGGTAGGTTAGGGAGTATTTTTTCAGTGTAACATTTACACTCTTTGGCTTTGTTATAGAATAGTACGGGGTTAAACGGAAATCTTTCCAAATAAGTAAATAAATGAAAATATAAAAATAGGGATATACATGTGATATCTCTGTTTATGTGAGACTCGAAGATGTGTTTTTTTTCGCGGGGTAAGGTGGTGAAAAAAGTGATTGTTATAATCTTCCCAGAGCTGATAGGATTGGCTGATGTTCTGCTACAAAGTTCCCTGGTCAATTTGTCTCTGTTCTCACTACTTGTGATATGTTACATGTCATTGTTACATGATTGTATAGAGTTCTTAGAATTCAATCAGTTAAATCCTTCAGCAAAACCTAAAATAGTGCATTTAGTACTTGTACTTGTAAACTCTCTGTCTAATGTTAATAGTAGAATGGTAAGTATTGACCAAGCAAGAGGTCAACATGGCTGGATATTGGCCAAGTTCTTGTTCTCCTTTTTTATAGACTGAGATTAAGTCAAGGTCTGTAGAAATGCATAAAAGAACGAAGCTGACATCCAGCCAGCCTGACCGGACAAGTTTAGTCAATGAAGGATTTACAGTATAGCAAAAAAAGTTCACTTTATAAGAATGACTTGTTTATTTTTTAGAGCAGGGAAAGAAATCCAATTGTGTTTGTAGCAGAATAATTCAAGAAGAGTTGTTTATGTTTTCTTTGGAGGGGGGTGAATAGGCTAACGGATCGGCGGATTCTGAGAATTATTTTGCCCGGATTTTGGATTTAGAGCAAAATTTTAACGGATTTGCGGATCCTGAAATTGCAACGGTTCGCGGTTTCGTTGATTTTTTAGGTTCGGATTTTGGATTTTGCTTGTGAGGAAGTTTGGATCGTGGATCTGAATGATCGTCAGAAATGTGTTGTTTTCTGAGTATGTGTATTTTTTTGTCACGGACGAGACTCTCTGCATGTCACGCATCAGGGAAATAGTAATGCGCTGGGACGTCTGCTGTGTTCACGCCTTTTTCCATGACACTGTATCCCACCTATTGCGATTCGCTTGATGGGAAAGCCATTGCCTAGCTAACACACAACAGCTCAAGGTGCGTTTTCCACCTTTTACAAGACAAGTAGCAAACAGATTCAGATTTAACAATTTTTTTTAATGGATTGACGGATTTGGTTATCAAATCATAGTGGATCGGTAGATTTGCATACCCCTATTCACCCCCCTCCTTTGTTCTGAGTGTCTTGACTGCCACTCTTTACAATGACCCCATTGCTGAAATTATCCAGAAATTACAAACTTTGTTAGTCTGCTCCACAAAATTGTTTTATTTTGCATGCAATCAAAGTAGGCTATCCTGACTGAACAGGCAAGATAGGTCCATCTTGTCTGCTTAAAGTAGGTAGTCAATCAGAACACAGGATTGGCTTCTTATGATCCATGGGCACTGCCATCTATATAAGACAACCAAATATTTGGAGCTGGTGAAATTCAATCCTCAGGAGAGTTACATATATTTGAGTTTATGGTTCCATATAATACAGTGACACTTTTATTCTTTCTCTTACTGAATGATCATCCCTTTTTGATAATCTGCTGACATGGACAGCCTGATGATAGAGGAACGGTATGTTTTAGCTTTGAATAACTGCTCTCTGTAGCTGCCTTAGAATGAGGACTTCTTTTGTTTAGTGATTGACCTTGATTATCACTGCTGTAATTGTAAATTATTGGAGGTAAATTTTTAGCTTGAAGGTGTAAAGGATTTCTTCATGGTTAGTGCAACACTGTTTGTCTTTGTAAGTTCATGGTCCAAAGATCTACCTGTAAAGTAAACTTTTTCTAAGACTATTGTTCCATTCTTGGCCAGCAAATGGTAACATTCAGCTGTGTCAAGTGATAGTGTCTTGTTAAAAGTACCTCAGAAGGAGGAAGCTAAGAGTACTGTTTGTCAACAACTTTCTACAGTATCCAAGGCTGTATACTTTGAAAGGTGCCTGACTTAATTGAAGGGTAGTGTGCTTCAACTACAAGAAAAATGGAAAATACAAATTGTGAGCAGTAACATTAGGCTTTGTGGCAAAGGGCAGGAACTCTTATGGTGTGAAACCTCTTCTATCAAAACCATGGTTTAGTCATCTTTTTTCCTCACCTTTAAAGCTCATTGGCAAAAATTTTCTTAATGTATTCATCAAATTCAATGAAATTTCTAAGATGCTTGTCACCTTCATCTTCAGAGCTAAAGGCATATATGTTGTCTCCCCAACAGATTAATGGTATTGAAGTCATAAGAGTGGTTAGACAAGGGGGGCATGCTATCCATTACATTCCAGAGGAAATTCCTGAAGCAACTGAAGTAAAGCTTGTTGTTGATTGGTCAAGGAGGTTTGACCACATGCAACAACACTCAGGTACTTTTAGGAGTTTGAATGTTATTAGATACTGAGTCATGCATGATAGCTGTTTATTGGCACTATGGAGAAATTTCAAAACATAATCAATTGCCCTTCGTAGAAAGCTGACTTATCCCAGGGAATTTTTACATCAATTATCTAGGGTTGAAAACTGAGTTTGATAGATCCTGGAAAATGTTTTACAAGTTTAGTTTGAGTATGGAGTGGCTAATTAGGAAACAATACAGGATATATACTAATATGTAATTCTTATTACTGACATTATTTTGTCTAACAATTTAGTTCTACATTGTAGATGTTCATGTATGATAGCTGTTTATTGGTGTGGAGAAATTCTCCCTCTCTGATAGCAAACTTGTATATGGCAGGTAACCCAGGGAATTTTTAGTAATTTATTTTAAGAAACAAGACAAGCAATGACAATGCTGAAATACTGTCATGTTTACCTTCACCTGCATCATTTCCAATTTCAGGACAGCACTTAGTGTCTGCCATCATTGAAAACAAGTTTGGTTATGAAACAACTTCATGGTAAGCAAGTTCTTTACACAAAAATCAATTAATCAGGTAATCACAAGGTGGAATGCAGACCCAGAGAATGAAGAATTGTTAATAATACAGATATTTTTTAATTTTTGGTCATTAGGGAGTTAGGAAAATTACGTTCACACATAGAACTGAACTGCAAAAAGCTCACTGCAGAAGAAATGGAGTGGATAGAGACAACAGCTAATGAAATCATCAGGAACAATACACCAGTTAATGTTCATATTTATCCTGATGCAACTTCTGCTAAACAAGAAAATGTAAGTTTGAAAATGTTATGAAGGACTGTCCTCTTTGGACTGTTGATTGGTAATATGCCAAAGGTGTACTGTGAGCCTAGTCAACAACTAACTTGTCATCAAAATGAATAGCTTTGATTATCTGTCTGCTCTCTCACAAGTTGCTGGTTTGTGGGAAAAATTTATAACCATAAATCATGTACATGTATACCAACACACATGCAACCTAGACTCATCAATTTTTTGAACTGAAGTGCCTTTTCATCAAAGAATTCATCCAATGTCACTTATGCCAAAGCAATATTGAGAAGCCAAAATCAAAGCAGCCTCTTCTTCCTCATGTGTTAGCTGAATTTCTCTTGAAATGTGTAGTATACATGTAAATGCCATTTGTTTGACTGTGGATGCTGTTTTTTCAACTGTTAACTTGGAATATTATCTTCTCATCAGGCAAGCACCAGAGGTCTTCCTGATGACCATGAAGGTCCTGTCAGGGTGATTGAAATACCAGGTCAGTGATGTGCAAGGGAAAGAAACTTTTTCCCGCAAATGGACTTATGAGCCTTCTATTATAGGCCACTTGCCTTATTTTTTAACCGCTTGTCCTTAAGGGTTAAAAAACACCAACAAATTCTCCTAAGCAAAACCCTACGAGAAAAGTATGGAGAATATGTATACTGATGCTAGGGTGTAAAGGGCTTATGGGTTGAATTAATTTACATTCTATCTGGTAAGGAGAAGTAATATACTATGTGCACGTCATCCAACTGCTATGTATGTCAATGAAATTGAAGCTTCCCTAACTAACCCCATGGGCATTTGAACATTTAAAGATTGGTTTGTTCAAATTTCCACCCCACCCTAAACTGGGACAAGAATCGTTTTCAAATGCCCCCACCCAAGTGCTGATTTGAGGGTCAATGTTTTGTAAAAGGCAAAGTTATTGACCTTGAGTTTCTACACATTGACCAAGCTTCAAAACCTTGACCTTGTAGACCTTTTCTTCTGAGCCATTTGCTTGTGAAAGAGAACTATTTTCTGTTAACTCCTCCATATTTCATGAATGATATTCACCGAATCAAAATATGGCGTCCAATTTGAATTACCATTGTTTTTTATTTACTAGCCTTGTCTTCATGTGGAAAACACAAAAGGATTATCACATGTGTGAGAGGCTAGTAAGTCCAGAACAATGGCAATTCAAATTGGACACCATATTTCGATTCGGTGTATAACACACGTATTCTACTGGAAGTAGATGTATTCGACACTCCAGGTTCAAATGTCCCATCCCAGCTAGGTGAGGTTTGAATTCCCACAGACAGGCATAGACAACATTCAAATGCCTGTGGGTTTTTTTTTTTGGGGGGGGGGAGGGAAGGGAGAGGGAGGCTTGTTGAATTGAAGCTTCAAATTTATTGGTGCATTAATTCCTAGTTATATGTCTTGATGATTTTTACTTTAATTGCTAATTAGTATTCTCCAGTTTTTTGCACAGTTGACATTTAACATAAATGGCTAATCTTAACACTGGTTTTTTAAATGTAATCATTCAATTACTAGGCATAGACCGAAATATGTGTTGTGGAACGCATGTTACCAATCTAAGTCAAGTTCAGGTAAATAGATGTTCTAATTATATGGTTTAATATAATGCTGTGAAGACTTCTTTCCTTTCTCCAAGTGGGAGGTAAACGAAAAAGACCCTGGGAACAAGGTTGTGAAGTTTAGTCCATGGCAAAATGTTGACATTTTAGTTTTGAAAGCCTGCTCCTTTTTTTAATATTAGTTACTAGGTTTTGTTTTGTGGGAAAAAAACATTCCTAGTGCTACCATCTGAAATTTCACATCTGTCCAATCTCAGCCGTTTCGAGACAGTGATGAGTAGATTTTAAAAGAAGGATTCCATTCACCGATTTTAATTATTTTTTTTACCTAGAAAATTATGCAAACTAACAAAGTGATGTCACACACTCAACCAAATTTTGATTTAATGAAGCAAAAATAGTCCCAAAATTTTGGGTTGAGGATTTAACAGCATCACTCATTTAGATATTATTAAGGATGATTCAAACTAAGATTTTCTTGAACTAACCCTGATATTTGAAAATGGAGAATGCCCTTTAGGAACTTTAGTGAAATTCTCCATTTTATCCCCAGAAATATCAAGGCCTGGGGTGAGAATCTGATCAAAGTGAACTTTAAAAATTAATCTTGTCATCTCTGCACAAGAAAAAAAAAAGCAGCAAAGTGGGTCCCCAATAAGGATGTTTTCTGAATTATTTAAGTCAGAGTCACAAGATGATTCAATAAGATTTAGATACTGTACTTGTCCAATCAGTGCTCACACATCTTGGGGATATTTTTTCTTTTCTTGAAGTCAAGAAGATGATAATTATGAAGCATTTTATTTTCAGGTTATTAAGCTGTACCCTGAGACAGAGTCAATGCGAGGAGGTACCAGACTATTCTTTTTGGCAGGAAACAGAGTTTTAAAGTGTCTGGGAAAGGCATTAGATAATGAGAGAGCATTGACAAAAATGTTAAGGTAAAAGACAATCAGAATTTGTCAGTTTTCACTGAGTTACTTGTCAGTTTGAACCTTTTCAAGCTCACATGGCCACATTAAAGTTGCAAAAATGAGCTTGCCTTAGGTTTTAAGTGGTATGATTAAGATTCAAGATGATTGATTGAATGCACTGGTGTAGATAGTAAAGCAAATCATTAAGTGTTAGTATTACCTTCTGTAGTGTTGGACCTGATGATCACTCTACAGCTGTGGATCGAATTCAAACATCACTCAAGGCTGTTAATAAGGTAGAGTCTGATATGCTTACAGATGTATTAAATTTTGATTGATAGTAAGACTACAGCCAGGTCAATTGGGCTCAGAAAACAGGTAATAAGCTTTAGTTGGTTGTATTTTGCCTTCTCAACTCTTTGCTGATGATTAATAACTTTTATTAAAACTCTTCTGCCAATATGCTACATCACTTTTCAAATAACTGCATTGTCAAGGTGTACTCATAGCATTTTTTTCAGTGTTGCTGATATTGACTCATGTTGTTCTTTTATTGATGTGCAGGCCACAAAGTCACAGCTAAAAGAGATTGCACAGTTGGAAGCTTACCAGCTTAAGGCAACTAGCCAAACAAAAACATACCTCTATATACACAGGTAGTTAGGAACTTTTAAATAATAAGTAAGATACCATGCATGTTTCTATGAATTATGGCTTCTTTTAGCAGTAAATGCAGGGCTTATTTGTGAACTCAAAGCACTAGAGTTCACTTTCTAATGATTTGTTGGGCAGGCATAACAAACTACTTGGGATGCTGGAGGATTTCTTAATGAGTTTTAAAATGACTTTCTCTCAACTCATTGATGTTAACTTAGAATTCAGAATGCAAGAGGAAATGAAATTTTTGCTACAATTGGCAGTAATGTTGCAATCTTGATGCCATTGTCAATAACAGTACTGACAACACTGCTTGCATCAACAATATGTCATGCAATGGTCACACACTGAAAGAATCATTTTGGTTGACATTGATATTATGGTAATAAACAAATTGACAGTGGTTTGGCATGGTCTGTACTCTCTTATTAGCAACAATGTTTATCTGCACTTCCTGAGTCCACAACAATTTGATTACTGTGATGACAAATATTATCAATAAGAGAACAAACTAATAAACTAGTGTCCATTTGTTGGTCTGCTTGGAAGTTAAAAAATTGACAAAAATAAACAACAAATCTTGATAACTACCAGGTTTTACCCATTGTGATAGAGCATAGTCAACTAATTAAGTACTAGATTTAAAAGACAATAGCTTTGTTTTCTAACCTCTATAGAGCATTTATGAAATGTAATTTGACTTATATTGCAGAGAAAATGGGGACATGGACTACATGAATGCATTGGTGAATGAACTATCAGACCAGGTGAGTGAAGCCTTAAAATTGTTTCTTTTGATGAGTACTTTGCTAGCAGCTTGATCCTCAGACATTCTAAGCTCATTAGCCCAAGTGACCATGGCCCAGCCTAGAATCAAAATAATTGTTTGATGCTTGCTTGAGGATAGTGACTGTTTCTTTCATTGGCAACCTCAGCCAAACAATTTTAATGTCTTTTTTGTAGCCACTTCCAGTGCTGGTGACAGTTGGACCTGACAAAGGGCCAGGGCAGTTCCTTTTGTATGGAAATGAAAAACAAGTGTCTCAAATAGGACCAAAGTATGTATTACTCATTTAACAAAGTTGAAATGGTAAATTGGCCACTGTAATGATTACAAAAGCTGACGTTTCGAGCGTTAGCCCTTCGTTGGAGCGAATAGAGGAATTGTGGGTTTTGTGTGCTTTTAAAGGCAAAAAATGATATATCCAAATTATTTTGTTACTCCCACCAACGCAGCCCCAAACAGTTTCTTTCGAAACTATCAGCCTTTATTACTCATTTAGCTTGTCATGTCTGGCTTTGTGCTAAGTAGTGGTACTTCTTTTGTTTGAGACACCCTATCAATGTAAACTATCATGTCCACACCTAACAAACCTTTGGCATCACTGTGTGAAATTTTGCAAGGATCTATAGAATTCTTAGCATGGTTAATTAATTCATCATTAATGGTAATTTTAATTTTAGATTTAGCACTTAATGTGAAATTGTTGGCATTTGTTTAATTTTGCAATCTTCTGCTGTAGAATTAAATGTTAAACATTTTGAATAACTTTAAACCCCAGAATACTGTTTGCCATACTTAGCATTCTCTAGCAGATGTAGGTTGAAAATATTACTCACAGACTACAAACCAAGTAGTTCCATTTGATACTTTATAAAAAACAAAACTCCTTGTCAGGTAAGGGTACATATAAATGTTGTGCCGTGTAACACTAGGAACACAAATGATGGAACAGAGAATTAACTCTGAAGCATAAATTAAAGTGCTAAGTGAAACCCATGAAAAGTGGGTTTTTCATGGGTTTCACTTAGCACTTTAATTTGTGCTTCAGAGTTAATTCTCTGTTCCACCATTTGTGTTCCTATTGCTATGTGGCACAACATTTATATGTACCCTTACTCTCTCTTCACTGCGATTTACCATCTTAATTGACCCCCACTTTCTCTGTCCGACCTCAACGCTTAGTCGGCAGAGCAACAGTAGATCTAATCAGGAGGTCTTGGGGTTGATTCCCACTGAGGTCACAAGAATTTTTTCTTTACCCCATGTGGTTCCTTGATAACCTTTATTAGGGCTAACACTCAGTGGGTTTTTCATGGGTTTCACTTAGCACTTTAATTTACGCTTCAGAGTTAATTCTCAGTTCGATCATCCTTGTCAAGTAGTTTGGGAGAATGCTTTTGGTAAATAAATGTGCTGTGATTTGTAGAATTGCTACTATTCTGGAAGGCAAAGGTGGTGGAAAAAAAGGAAGATTCCAAGGAAAGGCTAATACATTAAAAACAAGAAATGCTGTAGAAGATCTGCTAAAGGAATTTTTCACTTTATCAGTAAATGGAACTGCATAATATGGCAACTTGTAATAAAATGTCAAAGAATCCCAGAATGAAAATGCTAGTAGCTATTACCCAGCTGTAATATCCATAGTTGAAGTTTACATTCTCAGTATTAAAGAATTTTAAATTCAGAAGAGTGCTCCTTATGGAGGAAACCCAATCAACTAGCTCTTTGCACTAAAACAAGTTAATGAATGACTTAGGCGCTTTAATTGTTTTTCTAGTTCTTAGAATGTGTTAAAAAATAACCTGTCCTGTTTGTAATATCTTATTGTAACTAAGAAACATTAAAAAGAAATGGAAAATTACTAATCACTTTGTACTGATTTTTACAAAAGGAGTCAAACCAACACCTGCCGTTTTCCAGTAGTTGTTTTCTTCAAGTTTTGTGTGGGAAAACAAAGATTAAAGTTAAGTTTTGTCAAACCTGGTGCCATTGTATTTGTTATGAAGTCACATTGATGTTTCTTGGTTGTGAATTAAATTTTAACCTACAATAAGAAGGGCAGGGAAACAAACAATGGAGGTCGAAAGTTCACTTTACTTGGATAAACGATTTGGACTCTCACTTAAGGGCAGGTTCTCATCGCGCGCAATTTTCTCGAAATTGTAGTAATAGACAGTACCCACGACCTACTTATGAACTCATAAAAATACCCTTTATTTGGTGAGGAAATATCCTCGAATAACACCTGTTCCCAAGGTGAGGGCGGGACGTACCTGTTAAGGTAACACGCAAGACTCTTGAACATCTTCAATGGTTTGGTAAAGCCCCAGTTTGACTACTGCAGCTCAGTATGGGATTGCTATAGTTCAAGTCTGGCCGAAAAACTTCAGAAGCTGCAGAACCGTGCGGCTCGTATACAGTAAAAACCCGCAAGTAAGAACCTACATTTTTAGGAGTTAGCCTAAACAGGTTCTTATATAAATGGTACATAACAAATTTTAGGCTATTTAGGTTCTTAAAACAGGTTCTTATTCTTGGAGAAAAACACACCTGCATAACAAGTTGGTAATTGTCCTATATTTTGTAACTACAT